TTATTTCAGCAGGCAGGACTGGCCTAGGGGTATTTTAAAGGGGTTTTAAATTAAATTTTTAGTAGAAGCGGCCAAATTTAAATAGTTATTTTTAATCTTTTTAAATTTTGTATTGTATCATTGTTTTAAACTGGCTGTAAGCCGCCCTGAGTCCTCCGGGAGAAGGGCGGGGTATAAATTTAATAAAATCAAAATCAAATCAAAATCTTTGCAGTTGTTCTACTCCCACCCCCCAACACCAGCCCCAGCCCCCAGAAGCAGGAGACCAGCTCCTTGTTCAAACAGGCTTCTTCCACAAAGGAGCTTGACATGCAGCAAAGGCCAAAAGGAAAGGCAGGAACAGGTGGGTGGAACGAGTCAGTCTGCACAGGCGCACAGGGCCAGCGGTGTGGTTAGATAGCATGGACAAGGTTTCAATCCGAGATGGGAGCAGCAGTATCAGAGGGGAGAGGAAAAGGAGAGCTGGTGGCAGCAGGGAGGTCACAGAGTTGGGAAAAGGAAGAACGGAGAGGGTTTCTGCAGCTTTCCCAAGGGTCAGACCCTCAGGAAAGGGGGCTAAGGCTGCGGATCTCAGAGCGAGGGAGAAACAAGATAGAATAGAATAGAATAGAATAACAGAGTTGGAAGAGTCCTTGCAGGTCATCTAGTGTAACCCTCCGCCCAAATAGGAGACCCTACACTATTTCTGATAGATGGCAGTCCAGTCTCTTCTTGAAAGCCTCCAGTGATAAATCTCCCACAACTTCTGAGGGCAACCTGTTCCATTGGTTGATTGTTCTCACTGTCAGAAAATTTCTCCTTATTTCTAGGTTGAATCTCTCTTTGATCAGTTTCCATCATTATTCCTTAGTCTGGCCTTCAGGTGCTTTGGAAAATAGGTTGATCCTCTCTTCTCTGTGACAGCCCCTCAAATATTGGAATACTGCTATCATGTCTTCCCTGGTTCTTCTCTTCACTAGATAACCAGTTCCTGTAACCGTTCTTCATATGTTTTAGCCTCCAGTCCCCTAATCATCTTTGTTGCTCTTCTCTGTACTCTTTCTGGAGTCTCAACATCTTTTTTATAGTGTGGAGACCAAAACTGGATGCAGTATTCTAGGTGTGGTCTTACTAAGGCTTTATAGAGTGGTATTACCAGTAGTACCATACGTCATCTTGATTGAATCCCTCTGTTAATGCAACTTAGAATTGCATTGGCTTTCTTGGCTGCCACCCCACAGTGTTGACTCATACTTCACTGATTGTCCACTAAGACTCCAAGATTCCTCTCACAGTTACTGCTATTAAGCTTAGTTTCACCCAATCTATATGTGTACTTTTGGTTTTTCTTGCCTAAGTGTAAGATTTTACTTTTCTCTGCATTGATTTTCATTTTGTTAGATAGGGTCCAGTATACAAGTCTGTCAAGATCCATCCATCTATCATCTAGGGCAGGGGTAGGCAACCTTGGCTCTTTTATGACTCATGGACTTCAACTCCCAGAATTCCTGAGCCAGCATGGCTCAGCATGGAAACCTGTCCCTTTCCCCTCAGCATGACTGGCTCAGGAATTCTGGGAGTGGAAGTCCACGAGTCATAAAAGAGCCAAGGTTGCTTACCCCTGATCTAGGGTGTTGGCTATTCTTGCCTGATGGGTCGACAAAGATTTTCCTCCTTCTAAAATAGATTCTGTGACAAAAGCAGCTGTAACACCCAAACAGTTGGTAGTCTTTGGATAATACTGGCCTGTTGTAGCACACATAGAGGTGGAAAATCATAGGTCCTCCCTGGGCATTTATGCTTTCTTGCTTGACTATCCTGGGTCAACAATTTCCACTGCTGAACAGCATGTGCTATCAGGAAGTTCCTAGTGATGTATAACCAACATGATTTGCTCTCTCTGTGTGTGAATGTGAACACACAACCTGATTTTATGTCAGTCCTGGGCTCATAAGTCAGAAAACTCTACCCTAGCTCATCGAGAACTGCAAGACAGGGGAACGGGCAATAATCTTGTGCTATGATTTGTCCTTAAAGTTCTCAAATATGTAGAGATAAAATGTTTCTGTGCATGGAGATTCTCTTCAATAATATTGAATATAGCTAATGTAGGGCTTAGCCCACATGCTAGGCACAGTTCTCTCTCCTCCTAAGTCAGGGGTAGGCAACCTTGGCTCTTTTATGACTCGTGGACTTCAACTCCCAGAATTCCTGAGCCAGCATGGCTGGCTCAGGAATTCTGGGAGTTGAAGTCCACGAGTCATAAAAGAGCCAAGGTTGCCTACCCCTGTCCTAAGTCTTCATATATTTCAAGACTGCTGGCAGTCTTTTGTTCTCTGACTAAATGCATCTAAATGTTGGGAGTTTACTGTGTTATGATCATGATTCTTTCGTTCATTGGTAATGCCCTTTTTATGTTCTTTTTTTATTAGCAATGTTCTTTTTGCATTGATGTTTTCGTTTGTAATTTTATTTTTTATTGTCTTTATTTTATTGGATTTGACCAAAGGTGTTGGCAGAATAGATAGATTACTTTAAATCTGGTCCTTAAAGTTGGTCTAAACACATTTTGAACAACAATAGAAATCACAAAGTGAAGAGGAGGGCAAAAAATAGACAGTCTTTAGTAATTGGCTAGATCCGCAGCTTTTGCCCCCTGCATGCTTAAGATCTTTAAAAACCCATGCCTTTTGTTGCCAATAAAAGGTTTTAAAAAAACCCACATACATACAACCACCTCCCTGATCATCCCAATTCCTATATCACATGCTCAGATTCGCTGGATCCACAAGGCTTAAAACCAACAGGTCATTTCCATGTGCTAAAGGCAAGCAGAGGATGGGCAAACTGGTGGAGCAAACCCCCATGGCGTCAAGTCAAATCCTTCGCCCACCCTCCTCTTCCTCCTCCTCCTCCACCCCCACCACCTGCGATGTGCTTGCAGACAGGTATCATTCTGATGCATTCAGTGCACTTGCAAAAAGAGGCACAGCCTGAGGGTACCAGCACTTGGAACAGGGCTAGTTCAGAACATCCCTTGCTGGAAGAGAAAAGGAACATGGTCTTGGATTTGGCTGCAAGGCTGCCCCCCCTCCTCCATTTCTCTTCCAGACCTCCCCTGGGATGGCATCCTGTGCTTCTGACTAGCCTTGACCAGTGTGGTGGGATGAGGGGTGCATTTGAGGATGGGAAGGAGTGTCAGGACAATGGTATGACACGTACCCTTCTCAGGATAGGTTTCTTCACTAAGAGTAAATCTAATCCCTTTTCCACCATGGACTAGTAATGAGAAAAGGAAGGAAGGAAGGAAAGGAAGGAAAGGAAGGAAGGAAGGAAGGAAGGAAGGAAAGGAAGGAAGGAAGGAAGGAAGGAAGGAAGGAAGGAAGGAAGGAAGGAAGGAAGGAAGGGAAGGAAGGAAAGGAAGGAAGGAAGGAAGGAAGGAAGGAAGGGAAGGAAGGAAGGAAGGAAGGAAGGAAAGGAAGGAAGGAAGGAAGGAAGGAAGGAAGGAAGGGAAGGAAGGGAAGGAAGGAAGGAAGGAAGGAAGGAAGGAAGGGAAGGAAGGAAGGAAAAGATACAATATTGGAAGGAAAAGGAGAAGGAAGGAGAAGATGGTGGTTGGAAGGAAAAGAACAAGAACAAAAATGTGCAGGAGGACAAGAGAAGGTTGGAAGGGAGGAATGAAAACGGGCAGATGGTGGAGAGAAAAAGAAAAGAAAGATCAGCCCACTCATCTGCTTTAGAAGGCAGCTGGAGAAGCAAAAGGTAGGTTAGGGCAAATGCCAACTTGAATGCTAGAGAAGAAGGCAGAAAAAAAAGGCTAAACAGGAGTTATTTAGTTATTGTACTAAATTTATTAGCCACCTCAATCTGCAAAGTTAACTTTAGGCTAAACCAAAATTTCTGAACTTTGGCCATTTTAAGACTCCCCATACTGGCTGGGGAATTGTGGGACCTGAAGTCCACATATCTTAAAAGTTGCCAAGGTTCAGAAATACTGGGCTGAACTAATGTCTAAGATGCTGACTCCTGTGGACAGCCCTGTAAAAGAAAAAAAAAATCATGTTTCTGGATGAACCAAAGATCCCACTTCTCCCCTGAAGTAGCAGTCAGCAATCTTATTCTACATGAGCCAGAGGCCGTGCTGCTATCACCACTGCCATTATTTTTTTTGGGGGGGGAGGGGATGCATCACTGCACCAAGGCAGCTAGTGAAACCATCACCAAAATGTTGGTCCGAGAGGTAATGAGAGTTTTCTCCTTCTCTCTCGTGGGCAGGGTGAATACATTTCTTTTTAGGACCATGGGCTCGATGATTTGGGGGTGGCAGGTCACATCTAGCCCAAGGGCCCTAGGTAGCTAACCTCTGCTACTAAAGGGATGCTTGCATTTCCTACAGAAACAAATCAGGTGCCTCCCAGCAGCACATGGAGCAAGAGACCAGCGGTCCTCTCATCTTGGCTGCCCAAAAGATTTAGTCATAGCTACTGAAATATCCTAATAAGTAGATATCAATGGGCTTGCTTTCCATTAGAATATACGCTGTAGAGCAGAGGTCCCCAACCTTGGCCACTTTATGACTCGTGGACTTCAACTCCCAGAATTCCTCAGCCAGCCATGCTGGCTGAGGAATTCTGGGAGTTGAAGTCCACGAGTCATAAAGTGGCCAAGGTTGGGGACCCCTGCTGTAGAGTCTGCTTCAAAACAACAGCAGAGGCCCTAATGGGAAGCTCCTAAGCAAATCTATGAAGGCAACTCCATTTCCTCAATGTTTTCTCATCCAGCAGAGTGAGAGTGACTCAGGCGGAGTGTTCCTGAATGTGGAAGTCCCATTTAGCCACATAAAGAACCCAAGAAGGACTCTTGAAGATGAAAGCACACCAAGAGCATCATCTTTAATCTCCTTGGAAAAAGTCAGTGGCCTTACGCAATTCCCATCCACCTAACCTCACTCCTTACCCCCCCAGTTTCCTAGCAAGCGTACGTGGACACCCTCTCGGCCGCTTACCCTGAGTGGACTGCGTCTGGACAAAGGTTTTGATGAGCAAGTCTGTGGCTTGTGTGTAGAGCGAGAGGGCGTAGCGCAGGGATTGCAGATCTGGGCTTTTCTCCAAGAAGGTTTTTTTGAGACCAACTCCTCCTGCATGGAAGTATTGCTGATGGGGAAAAAGGGGGAAAGGAAAAGCAGGAAATCCAGTTTAAGTACACACCCTGTACTTTCAAGACTCTCAACCATTCGCAGGAGGGATAGTTAAGTTTTCACAGTTCTCCTTCCATATGTCATATTGGGTTCCTCGACATACAACCACTTGTTTAGTGACCATTCAAAGCTAAAACAACACTGAAAAAGTGGCTTATGACCAATTTTCCCAACCTACAACCGTTGCAGCATCCCCATGGTCTCCTGATCAAAATTTGGACGCTTGGCAACTGACTCGTATTTATGATGGTTGCAGTGCCCCGGGGTCATGTGATCCCCTTTTGTAATTTTCTGACAATCAAAGTCAATGGGGAAGCCACTTAACAACCACATTATTAACTTAACAAGTGCAGTGATTCACTTAACAACTGTGGCAAAAAGGTTGTAAAATGGGGCAAAATTCACTTTACAGCTGTCTCACTTAGCAAAAGAAATTTTGGGCTAAATTGTTGTCGTAAGTTGCAGACTATCTGTAGCATATAATTAAACCAAACTGACTGGATTAGGCAATGCCCAATGTTACATACAAGTTAACAGAGGTTAACCTTAATAATAATAATAATAATAATAATAATAATAATAATAATAATAATAATAATAATAATAATAATAATAATAATAATAATAATAATAATAATAAAAAAAAAAGTTGGAAGGGACCTTGGAGGTCGTCTAGTCCAACCCCCTGCTCAGGCAGGAAACCCTATACCATTTCAGACAAATGGCTGTCCAGTCTCTTCTTAAAAACTTCCAGTGTTGGAGCATTCACCGCTTCTGGAGGCAGGTTGTTCCACTGGTTAATTGTTCTGTCAGGAAGTTTCTCCTTAATTCTAGGTTGCTTCTCTCCTTGATTAGTTTCCATCCGTTGCTTCTTGTCCTGCCTTCAGGCGCTTTGGAGAATAGCTTGACTCCCTCTTCTTTGTGGCAGCCCCTGAGATACTGGAACACTGCTATCATGTCCCCCCTCGTCCTTCTCTTCATTAAACTAGACATACCCAATTCCAGCAGCCGTTCCTTATATGTTTTAGCCTCCAGTCCCCTAATCATCTTTGTTGCTCTTCTCTGTACTCTTTCTAGAGTTTCAACATCTTTTTTACATCGTGGTGACCAAAACTGGATGCAGTATTCCAAGTGTGGCCTTACCAAGGCATTGTAAAGTGGTATTAATACTTCATGTGATCTTGATTCTATCCCTCTGTTAATACAGCCTAGCATTGTGTTGGCCTTAGACCTGTGTAAATTTAACTGTTAGATCTTCAACTCATCTCTAGCCATAGTACCACTTTTGCTTCATTTCCACTCATTTCAGTTATGGTAAACATCTATGGGTGTCAGTGACATTATCCTACTTTATAGTCCCAGGACAGCTAAGATTGGATCCGAGATGACGGTTTCCTCAAGGCCATTCAACAAGCAGCAATTTGAACCCAGAACTTCCCAATGGTCTATCCACCATGCCCTATTGATTCTAAAATGACAAATACTCAAAAATGGGAATTGCAATTAAACCCATATGTACCCACTGAAATTCAACTTGTTCTCAGAATCTAAAACAGTCTTTCTCAAGCTTAGGAACTTTAAGATGGGTGGACTTCAACTGCCAGAATTCCCCAGCTTCTTCCCACGCTTAAGAAACACTGATCTAGAATTTAGCTGGGATAAAGGGTGGGGAGAATATGGAATTATTTACCTTGATGGTATCCAGAGCAAGTTCCACCACAGCACACTGTTTGGGTGTCAAACTCTTAGCTTCCTCACGTACCATGTGATCCTGGCAGGAAGAAGCCATGATGTGTAATAACTGTCTACACAAGATAACCATAACTTCTGTTTTCTATACATGTCTAACCATGAGCCACCCTATGTATTCATTCTGAGACTGCATTTGGAAACCTAGACCTTTAAGAAGGGCATTTGGGTGATTTGAATGGGAAAGGAAGATTGATCAGGTTATTTGGAGTCTCTTCCAAGTTCCCTCACAGTTCAGTTCCTTGTTGGCTACCTTTCTTCTCAGAATCATTCTCTAACAGAGAGGAAAAATACTGTAGCCAACAGGAACAAAAAGATAAACTTCCTCCTAAAAATAACAATGTCTCTCTGCCCCAGAAAAATGAAACACATTAGGATTCGCTCTTCTTTTCTTCCCCAACCCTTAAATTTGAATTTAACAACTCAGTAATATTCTCGGTTGTAAGATTAATTTTTATTTATTTATATCCCACCTTTATTATTTTTATAAATAACTCAAGGCGGCAAACATATCCAACACATATTCCTCCTCCTATTTTCCACACAGTAGCAACCCTGCAAAGTGGTTGGGCCGAAAGAGAGTGATTGGCTCCAAGTCACCCAATCAGCTTTCATTTCTAAGGCAGAACTAGAATTCACAGTCTCCTGGGGACTGGCCCAAAGTCACCCAGTGGGCTTTCAGGGCTAAGACAGGACTTGAAATTATGGTCTCTTGCTTTATAGTGTGGCGTCTTAACAACTAGACCAAACTTGCTCATGAATGCAGAAGATGGGTTGATTAGAATCATAGGGGTGGAAGTAGCCTCAGAGGTCTTCTAGTCTAACCTCCTGCTCAAGGCAGGAGAGACCTTATGCCATCTTGGTCAAATGGTCGCTCAGTCTATTTTTGAAAACTTCCAGTGATGGAGCACAGATTAATTGTTCAGTTAATAATTATTTCATTAATTGTTCATGCCACAAACTAACCCTTGGTTTATTGAATTAATCTGGTTTACTGAGTTTCCACAATAATCCGAATCCTAAATGAATACACTGACTTAACTTATACAACATAAGGGATCACAAATTTCAAAACAACATTTTGATCTAGTGGATTATTTGACCTCATGCACTGTCTCACAGCCTGTAGTGTATAGACCGGTGTTTCTTAACCTCGGCAGGTTTAAGATGGGTGGATAGTTGGGTCCTTACCATTTCTATGATGCAATTGTCCCTTCCAATATGCTTGTAGCACAGAAGCTGGTCTTCTGTCTGACCGACTCTGACTTTGCTACTCTTTCCCTGCATTGCTTACCTTCAGTTTTGAAAGCTGCCCTAATTCCTTGGCTGCATTGAAGATCATCTGCGTACCCTAAAGAGCAGGAAGAATGAAAAGAAGAAAGAATATATAATAAAGAGAAGGAGGCAATTTCACACCCACTTTTTAAAATACCTTTTCATAATTCCGAGACCGCCTTCTGCCGCAGATTCCTTCCCACAGACCGGTACGCTCCCACAGAGTGGGTCTCCTCAGGGTGCCGTCGGCCAAGCAATGCCGGCTGGCGACCCCCAGGGGGAGGGCCTTCTCTGTGGGTGCCCCCACCCTCTGGAACGAACTACCCCCCGAGATTCGGATAATTCCGGATCTCCTTACCTTCCGTCGNCCTGACCTAGGGTGGATTTTATATTGGGTTTTTTAGGAATTTGAAAGACGCAACTCTAAATTTGGTTTAATTCGGTTTTAAGGGGGGGATTGTATATATGTTTTGGTTTTAAGTATGTTGTGCGCCGCCCTGAGTCCCGTCGGGAGAAGGGCGGCATATAAATTAAATTAAATAAATAAATAAATAAATAAATAAATAATTTAGGGTAAGAAAATCAGATGACCTTCTATTCAGGGGGGCTTCACAGGAATGCCATTATAATATACTGTATAATTGATTTATTTTGCCAGACCTGGGAATTATATTATGGCTTTTTAATAAGGGACTGTCAAGTCAATTACAGCATAGATATTTTGTGTCACCTAAGGATTTAATGGTCCTGTGATCATTTGGACTACTGGAGCAAATTTGTAGATTTTTTTCCTCATTGGATAGTTGCTTTGTCTCTGAATAATCTACTTTTATTTCTAAGGAGAATATTATATATTTGTAAACCTAACAAAGATGATTAGATATGTAAATACATACCTTCCAGTTTTCAGAAAACCTGTTGTTCCTTTTATTAGGTCTTCATAGTCTTTAAAGAACATTTTAAATGAAAATGCAGATTCCTTAACATAACATTTCCTGACTTAACATTATTCACAATTTTTACCTGAGTGGAAAAGAAAGAAACCTCTGAACTCCTCTTTCTGAATTAAAATGTCTTTGATTTTAATCTTATGACACCGAACCAGAGTCCTTGTTCATGATATATAGCTCATTGGAAGTTATCCAATGTGACCCCAATTTTTAAACAGGGAAATAGATGAAATCATAGGCTGATCAGTTTAATGCCTCTTATGAGCAAACTAGTAGAAATGATAATCAAAGAAAAAAATAACTAAGCCCACAGAGAAACTGCATGGGTTCTATAAAGATAAATCCTATTTCACCAATTTTCTTAGAGAGTATCAACAGCCATGTGGATTAAGGTGACAGCCCTGACCCCCAGCAATCACTACTATATATTATTCAGCAATGGAACAATTCTGATATGATATGACCAAGTTCTGATGTTTTCTCACATGATTATGACAAATCTTTAGGGGGTTTTCGTCTTCTTTATAAAAAAAATTACTGGCTACATACACAATTCAAAGTAATATGCTCCATATAGAATAGTCCTGACTCCTATACTTGAATAAATTTCCAAGAAAGAGCCTGAATCCTGAATAACATAGTTCATCCTCCTACATACATATTCAATTCCCTACAGTTGCAACATTAGTGATAATGTCATACACAGCTTCTTGAAGGCAGCCTATTTGCACTGGTGGAATATGCATACATTCTGCTGTAAATCATAAAATGCCTAGTAGAGGGCATTTGAACAGCCATAATTTATAAATCCAGATTTCCTAATAACACTCTCAATACTGCATCTTATAGGTTCATTGGTGAGTGGCTTTCCAGATTGTGTTTTGAATCATTGCCAGCCACAAAATCCAGCTCATGCCCCTTCACTATTTCAGAAACTCACCCAGTCTCTGGAGCAAGAGTGGACAACTCACAGACAATTCTACCCCATACTCCCCTCACAAAAGGACAAAAAAAAAACCCATTATATTCCACAAGGGTAGACTGGTTTCATTTGGATCTATTAATCCTTCTCTTTTCTATTTGTTTCACAGACATCCAATATAATCAATCATTTTTCCATCCATCCATCCATCCATCCATCCATCCCTCTATCCATCCACTTTACAATTTAATCATCTTACATTTCAAGTTGCCATTTTTTTATGGTTGTTACTATGCAAGTCCCTATGTATTGACCCCTACCCCAGCTTTGGTCAATTGAAACCTTCATATATAGTAATGCATTTATTCTCAAAGAGAGGAACTATCCTTTTTTCTCCCAACCATGCACAAGGCTCTTTGGAAGTCTTTTCAACTGATGACCAAGATACAAACATTTTATATAGCAACACAGAGAGTCCCCACCCCTTTTGAAAAGCCTCACTTGCTTGCAACAGTTCCTGCCCCATCTACTCAATCATTTCCCCACATATTTGGTTTTACATCTTCATCCCTCCCTCTCTGCCCCTATGGTTTGGATGTCTTCCACAGCCCTCCAAACCCAACCACCACCACCCCCGTGCCCTCCCTCTACCCACTCACATGCAGACAGTCAAGCAAGCAAGCTGAGCAAAAGATTTCAGAAGGAAAATATTGAACAATTGCTGGGGTTTTGGTTGGAAACAGAGACTAACAAACATGAGGTTTTAAAAGAGCAGCCAGTTCCAAGTAGCAAATTCTGGTAAGAAAGAAGGACGAGAGACAAACAGACAAAGGATTCAAATGACCACAGGAAAGAAAAACTGGCAGGTGGGAGATTTTCATGGGGAGGATAGGCAAGAAAACAAAAATAGATGAAGCAGAACAAGAATTAAATGGAGAATCCTTACTTCAGTGTGACTGGGGAGCTTCACCCTAGTCTGTGGAAAGAACAGCACTATTTGTATGATTGCAGCATCTAGAAAACTTATGACAGCAATACAACACCCTCCCTTCCCCACAACCATGCTGACATCAGATGCCATCTGTGCAAAGACCGTGATGGTTGGGACAATAGGGTTACCGGCACACCTGGACAATATCAGATCTGGAGGAAAGCTATTTTTATTGGAAATGTCATGACCAGTTTATGGAGCGTTGATCTGCATTGCTATTTTAAATGGGTTAAACAGAAAATTAAGAAAGATTAAACTGGAGTTGTGATACTTTTCATAACGCATCCTCCAAAACGACTCTTTTGTTTGAATTTACACTAAAAACTTTAGATCTGATTTCCACCAGATTAATTATAATGAATTCATGGGGCTACTTTTGAAATTCCTCTCCTCCTTGAAGGCTTTCATTATTCTTTACTCATGATCCAAAATGGATCATTTATAGTCCATTGTTCTAAGTTTTAAAAATTTCCATCTTTATAGGACTCTTCTGTCAATCTCCTAATTTTCTGCTAAACTTCTCCTTTTGCATATCTAACCCAGCTCAGTCAGAATTTGGGTTGTAGCTCTCATTTAAAATATGATAAGAACTAATTCAATTTTTGAAATATAGGCAGGCTTAGTGACTCATGTACTCCCTGGCCAAGGAGACTTTGTACCATAACATGCTTAGATCTCTGATCTAGGAAATCATCTAATTCAGGGCCAAAATTATGACAAAGCCAAAGCATTTATCCTCCAAGAGGTCCCTTCCAACTTTATTATTATTATTATTATTATTATTATTATTATTAATAGGAAGCAAACGATGTCTTCAATAAACACTACTCATCCAATCTCTGAGTCAAGATTTGAACAAAAATGAATGGATCTTATTCACATTACTGCTTTTTGCTTTGAACATTTGGCTTGTGAAGAAGGGAACCTCCTGTTTTTTAATTCCTTTGAGGAAGGAATGGTGGACCTTGATAGAGATGTGCATGCTTCAGCAATGACTGGCAATTGGTTCAGACAAAGCATACTCTTATTTCCATATTACTCACAGGACACTTGGCTTATTGATCAGCTACCCCTCAACTTCTGCCTACCCTTTGATCTAAAGTTTCCACACACACAAAAAAGAGAGAGAGAATTGAGTTCTCCGTTGGAAGATTAGTTCTATACCCAAACTACTATCAATATCATTATTCTTTTTCTAATATTAAACCAGAATTTAACCTTTCACCTTAAGACCTGCATTCTTTTCTGCCTACATGATATCCCATCTCCTAGAAATACATTTCTCGACTTTGATGTTTGTTGTAACTACTTAAAAACACTTTAATTGATAGCATGAACAACATCCAACAACTCTTTAATATGAAGAAGCTACATTATTTTATCTGAAGTTATTTTTTTCAAAATATATATTTTCTGTCCAGAAAAGCTATTGAATACGTAGCTTTTATCATTAATGTTAATGTGTTGGATTTGATTAAATGTTAATATGTATATGCAGCATTTATCAATAACGAACTATATTATCCTTAATTCCTGAATTACCCATCATTATTTCATTTCTGAACAGTCCTCTTTTGCGTTCTACTTCCAGATGATTTAATGCTATACAGTTTCTGATCACTTGGCAGCCCCAAAAGAACAGGAGAGGGTCCAATAGTAGCCCCAGAACACAATCTAGTATGCTTGGATCTTAATTTTATAGTATGTTTTCAATTATCATTCCTACACATTCTCCTTTATTTATTTCACATAATTTCTATTCTGTCAACTTCATTGGATTCTGGGAGGCTCACAACAGTATATAGCTCACTTATTAATTTATTAATAACCTTTCTGTGGTTTTTATAATAAATTCAAAAAATTCCACCCCGCAATAATGAATTAATCCATTTACAGAAGAAAAAGATAACAAATCCAACAAAAAATCCAACAAAATTAAAAATGCCATCAGAAATTTGAACTTTGGGAATATCTATCTATCTATCTATCTATCTATCTATCTATCTATCTATCTATCTATCTATCTATCTATCTATCTATCTATCTATCTATCTATCTATATTTCCCAACCCTGGCAACTTTAAGATGTGGACGTCAACTCCCAGCCAGCATGGTTGGCTGGACAATTCTGGGAGTTGAAGTCCATTCATTTTAAAGTTACTAAGGTTGAGAAACACTGATCTATGGTATTTATTATATTTAGTTGGGAGTTGAACTACTCAGCTGAGTCAAGATTTCTCAGCTGAGTCAAGATTTCATTGTGTATATTTTGTGTATACTGTACGCACAGTATTCTGCCCTGAAATTCCCTGTATATATCCTGTCCTCCTTTTCCCATATACCCTATACAATGAAAGAATATCTTGGAGTGAAACATACGCTCAACTTGTTTTGTCTCTGGTTGGTGGATGGATGGAATGCAAGACAAACTGTCCTGATCTGTTTACCAGAGATATATGGAGGTAAACATCATGTATAACAGTGGCATCTCCAAGTTAGTTGCTACCTCTATCCCCGTTATCTCTCCTCTATCAAATATAAGAGGATAAGAACTTTGGAGTAGCAATTTTGGAGTTCTACCTCCCTTAAATTGCTACCGTAGCTCTAACAGAGAGTGGTGTTCCAACTAATGCCTATCACATCATCCGAGCTGCTGCTGCACAGTATGGACACAAATACAGGTCCTCTAGACGATGAAATCCATGCTACTACACTAAACAGCCCCTTCCCAGACAATCAAAGACACACAACAGTATATATCTTAACAACATAAACTATGAAACACAAAGATCGACCCATATTGATGTCAAAGCCACAGCTGACTTCTTGAACATTTCAGCTGGGCTGGGTGAGTCGGTGATAGGCGCAATGTCAGTTGGGTCTTTTGCTACAGACAGACAAAAGAGTGAGAATGGCTCATTACCTTCTCAGTCCCCTTCCCATGCTTTCTTAAGAGGGTTCCCTGTAGAAACAATATCACAAATTGATCATTATGGAAGGAGAGGAGAAACATGTCTTGGTGGGGGTATCACAAGGAAAAAGGAGTGGGGAAAGGAAGGAGAGATATTCAAGCTCCATTACCGTGGGATTATCTCTAGAGAACAGCATCGTCAGAAGATGTAGGCTAAACTTGGCACTGAATCTGCATTTTGCCCCCAAAGACTCACTTCTTCTCATCTGAACAACACCCCAAATTGGTCAGAAATAGATATACAGTAGGTCACAAGAACTGACTTATGACATCCGGCCCTGGAGACAATCACTCTTGCTTGCATAGCTGAACTACTGCAATGCACTCAACACAAACCTGCTTGGGAAGACTACCCATAAATTGCAGTTAGTTTGAAATGCAGCAGCCTTCTTATTGAGGAATGAAGTCATTGGAGTCATGTAATGCCACTGTGGTCAACCATGAATTCTAGTTACAATTTTGGTTTTGATCTATAACTCCCTTGGCCCCTGGATACACAACCCACCTGCTTTGTATTTTATAGCATTTAAGAGCATTTATTTTAGAAATTGTGTTAAGCGTTTTGTGTGAACATAACTTTTGTGTGCATGCCTTTCTCCCTCCTGCCATCAGAATTTCAGATAAAGCACAGAGATTTAACAGGATTTGGAACTTTTTGTGGGAAGTGTTGCAGTGTTCCTTAGCAGGACAGATTTGTAGAAATCTATAGTCTAAAAGTTTCTCTAGGTATTTCCTTAGATACAACTTAATTAAAACAGTTCCTATTTCATCTGATGTCCTCTTGATATATTTAGCAGTGAACTACTTTTAATGCTTGCTAGCTTGGCTACGAGATGGTGGGAATTGTAATCCAATATACCTGCAGAGCACCTGGCTAGAGAAGGCTGGATATACAGAATTATAGCTAAGGAAGGGATGGGCACATTAAATGCTTGGTGTAGGATCTGTTAAAGGAAATTAGAAGGTCAGGGCACTGTTAAGGGACAATGCTTTTATCTATCCCTGCGGGAAATAATGTGAAAACACTGAAATGATAGTCTCCAAAAGAGGGCAGGATTAAACCTTAACTCTGACAACTGTGATATGCCTAGGTTAGTGTAAAAAAATGTACAGATGTGACCTCTTGACCAGATAGGCCTGGCAATATGGGTGGGTCCATGTCCTAAAATGTGTGTATGTGTTTGGGGGGATTTATTTGCTGATTGTGTGCCCTTTCTTGATATGTCCCCTCAGCCTGTGTGCCTTGGAAGAGTTAGTAGCTAAGGTCCCAAAGCATAAAACAAACGTACCTAACTTAATGTCTACTAGATGGACACCATTTAGAGATGGGCACCATGTTGGCTGGGAATGCTGGGCACTGCACAGCCATCAACATTGGAGGAAATCAGGTTGGGGATGGTAAGTCTCAGATATTAAATTTGAAAAGCTCACACTGACATAACGTGCAGTAGACATGTCCTCTTCTCATGATATGGGCCATACCTTTGGGCCATAGCAGAGTACTGTATCTGTAGCAAGGTGCCCACCAAAGATCACTTGGGATTTCTTGTCTTCTTCATCCAATATTCCCCCAAGTCTATATCCTCCCATATGCAAGGAACATTTCACCAGACAAGTTGTTCCTTCACAACTCCAAAGAATGTAAGAGGAAGGGAGACTGAATTTGAAGAAAGCTCTTCTCAAAAATTGACTTCCTCACCCTTCCTATAAAGTCTCACAGGTAGACCTGAACACCTGATCCTTGTAACTCAGTGGCAAGAGTAACCCTTCCCTCCTCCCAGCTCCCCAGGAGACAACCCCATTATAGCTTCCGACATGGAGAAGTGAGGGACAGACTTTCCACCAAGACGTCATAGCTGGCGCGAAGCAGCTCAGCAACAAGGGGGAAGAGGGCACAGAGCAAGAAAAGGCAAAGGCGTTGGGAAGGGGCAGGAGCAGGAAGAGAAGGCATGGGGACAAGGTAGGCAGCCACCACAGAACAACAGAAAAACCAGCTCAAGTTACTTTGGGTAGGAAAGATACTAGACGCAAGGCACATGGACAGGGCGGGAGAGAGAGACAAACATGAGAGACAGGGGTGACCTGCCGTACTTACAATCATCTGCCAAGGTGAGAGGAGCGGAGCAATTAGAAAGAATAACCATGAGTAGGCCATCACCTTCATTTCCATTGTGTCCCCGCCCAACTTATTCTCATCCCCACAACCTCCCACAAATACAACAATCCCTCGTGAAACACAACCAGAGAACTGATGGGAACATCCCCGTACAACACAGAAGTGTTGTATCCTCTGTGAATATCACAGATATGAAGAATGACTGGCAGTTGTAGAAAAACCATGTTGATTTAAGGTCAGTTAGCTTAAGCTTGAAGTTCCTGTCCACACCTCCCTTAATTCAATCACACGATTCATCAGTTTAATGACAGGGACTCAACCTTCATGCTCATTTTAAATTACAGTAGCATTTTTAGAAAGACCATTTGAAAGCAGAACTACCTACTGAGAGGTATGTCCTCACCTGAGGATCTCCTGGGGAAAATGAGCTAGTTAGAGGAAGGACATGGTGGGACTTGACTAGTCAACTCACAATGAAGTTCTTGGTTTGCAAGATTTTACTACTGAGAATTCATCAGCTCAGCTTTAGAAAGAAGCTGTTAAAGTGAATTTCTTTCGAAGCATGTACAAAAGGCTAAGTTGTTCCTCATGTATTTGTAGAGGCGCAACAAAAGTACTATATTCCTTAGCAATGTCTTAGTTCTTAGGTGCAAAGAACTTACGTATAAAGAAATTTTCAGTGAAAGTGAAATGAGAACAATGTAAAGGAAGAATGAGATGAGTCACAGAAAAGGGTATCTAGCTTTCATTCCATCCTTTTCTAATCTCTCACCTTCCAGCTGTTTTGGTTTATACTTTCCAGCCTCTCTCACATCACAACACAACACAACACATTCAAAAACCCAATCTGGCTGAGGATGGAGAAGTTATGGTCCATTGCAACATCAGACTAAGGAAGACTATTCTGTTCCAAGAAATATTTCTCTTATTCTTTGCTTCCCAAATCACCTACACACCCACCCAATCTGCAATTAGAAATCTTGAAGGATTCTAAGGGGGGTTGGAACATAAAGTATTTCCTCTTTAGTAATCCTGGCCCCATACTTCTCTCAATTATATCCTTTCAACAGGAAAGTTAAGATTCCCAAAATCTGGAAATTTAATTTATGCCCTGATTTTCACTTAATTGCCAGTCTCAGATTTTCTCAAGATGTAACACACACACACACACACACACACACACACATACACATCAACCAACCAACCAACCAACCCACAAAGTCTCTAGAAGTTGAGTTTGCCTAAGACAGTGTTTCTTAATACTGGTGGCTTGAAGATGTGTAGACTTCAACTCCTAGAATTTCCCTTGTTGGCTGAAGATTGCTGGGAGGAGAAATCCACAAATCTTCAAGTTGCTAAGTTTGAGAAACATTGAACTAGGACAGTGATGGCAAACCTTTTAGAGACTGAGTGCCCCAAAACTGGCCCCGCCCCCGCTCCACCCCCTGCCCTGCCCCTGCCCCGCCCCGCCACCACCCTGTCCCCCACCCCACCTGCCCACAGTGACAGGGCCACTCACTGCCTCCAGGGCCCGCCGCAGATTGCCCAGGCAGCCCAGCAGCGCTATGGTGGCCATGCCCTCTGCCTGCGCCCCACAGCATCAACTGTGTGGGATGGGGCATGAGGGCAGAATCTCGTCTACGCTGCCTGGCTGCCATGTCCTTGGCTGCGCTGCTCCGTGTGGGCCACGCTCGAGGGTGACTCTCCTCCAGAGGGGCTGCTGGAGAGGAGGGGGTCGTGGGGGGAGGCGAGGCTGGGGCAACGGCAGGTGTGCCCACAGAGAGGGCTCCGAGTGCCGCCTCTGGCACGCGTGCCATAGGTTTGCCACCACTGAACTAGGAGAAGAATCATAAAACAACCCATTTTGATGGCGTCTAGGTAATGTATAACAAAATAAATTAGATTAAAAGAATAGAAAGTAAAGCAATCAAATTCTTATGGAATATTCTGGCAGGGTCCGCAGTCACCTAGGATCAAAGGCAGGACAGAAGTGCGCTATCTTTGCTTGCTTCTGAAAGGCAAGGAAGCAACTCTCTAGGGGGCAGTTGCTGATACCAGTAGGTGCTGCAAGAATAGCTGTGCACTCCCTGGAGATAAATGAAGTTGTATCCCTCCCCCTCTGTTGAGAGAGGGCTGTTCAATTTTGATATTTATGTGAAGCCGCTGGGGGAGATCATCCGTGGCTTTGGGGTGGATTTCCATCAGTACGCTGATGATACTCAGCTGTACATTTCCACCCCAGGCCACCCCAATGATGCCCTTGACGTGATGGCCCGGTGTCTGGAGGCCGTACGGGTCTGGATGGGGAGAAACAGACTCAGGCTCAACCCTTCCAAGACTGAGTGNTCTACATGGGGCTCCCCTTGAAGAGCACTCGGAGGCTCCAGTTAGTCCAGAATGCAGCTGCGCGGGCGGTGATGGGAGTGACTCGTCGCTCCCATGTAACGCCGCTGCTGCGCGAGCTGCACTGGCTGCCTGTGGCCTTCCGGGTGCGCTTCAAGGTGTTGATTATCATCTTTAAAGCGCGCCATGGCATCGGACCTGGCTATCTCCGAGACCGCCTTCTGCCACAGATTACCTCTCACCGGCCGATACGCTCCCACAGAGAGGGCCTCCTCAGGGTGCCGTCAACCAGACAGTGTCGGTTGGCGACCCCCAGGGGGAGAGCCTTCTCTGTTGGAGCCCCCACCCTCTGGAACGAACTACCCCCAGAGATCCGGGTGATTCCAGATCTCCCCTCCTTCCGCCGCGCCCTCAAGACATGGTTATTTCAGCTGGCAGGACTGGCCTAAGGGGTATTTTAAATTTGGTTTTTAAATAATTTTTAAAAATAGAAAGGCCTATTTATTTTAACCACATTTTAAATTTGTATATTATATTGTTATTCTGTTTTAAATTGGCTGTAAGCCGCCCTGAGTCCACTAGGAGAAGGGCGGGATATAAATGTGATTAATAAATAAATAAATAAATAAATAAATAAATAAAGATATAAATAGCTCTTTGACCCTTCTTTCAAACCAGCGTTCCTCTCTGTCCAAAATGTGGTTTGAAAGAGAGGTCAAAGAGGCCATCTATGTCAAAACTGAACAGCCTTCTCTCAACAGAGGGGGAGGGATACATCATCATTTATCTCCAGTCTACCACACAGTCCTTTCAGCAGTTCCAAGAAGGGTCCGCACCCATTTGCACCAATCAGGTGACCCTGAGGACACAGATAAAACTCCAAGTGGCCTCAGCAACTCTCTAAAAGAATGCAAATGACCAGCTGTCTGCAAGGAGTATAAATCCTTCCATTTCCCACCATTCCAGTCAGAGTTGAAGAAGCTTCTTGGATGAGAAGCGGAACGTCTTCAAAGAAAAACAAGAAAGTCCAGTTGCCTCTTGAAAAAGCACCTTTGGGACAACCATGACCTGGATGACTGAGAATCTCCATAGATAGCAACTGGGTCTTTCACTATAATGTCCATAAACCACTGTTTTTAGTTAGAAGATGAGAGACTCCTAGAAAGAACACTACTATATGTAAGTTGTTGTTTTTTGCTTTCACACCCTCTTTGTCCCATCTCTGCATCACTTATCTCCAAGCGTTCCCTAAATCGGAGCTTCAGAAATCTCCACTCTTCTAAAGAGCTTCACTCTTCTTAAAAAAAAAGGGGGGAAGTTTGCCCACCTGTCTCCCCCTGGAACATCTATTTGCATCTTAGAGAAAAAGCTAGCCTTTGATCCAGAAATGCTAGGTTTCTACAGTGAATTGTTTGTTTAATTATTTGAAGAAAGGAACATTTAGTCATGCCAGCTACTATCTGCAGTGTAAAGAACAACAATCCAGAAATACATCTGTTGGTTTTGAAAATGACATCTCTGATGCAACTGTAGCTTCCACAGTTAGGCTGCCCATACGAAACCTTGGTTATCCAACTATGATATGGGAAGGCTATAAGCAAACCACAAGAACTACTCCTAAACCCTCTTTCTGGTTCAGTCAATTTATATCCCGTCTTAGCTCTTTAAAACAGGAGCTAAGAGAATTGGTTGAAGGGAACTTCATCCTGGCTACTACTGTAATTTAAGGACAGAATGGCCTCTGAAAGTGGGAGAAACTGAGAAAAGTCTGGGACATCCCAATACTTCCTCTGATTGATTCACAGAGATGGTCAAATTTAGCTCAGAAGAAGCAGAGTCAACACTGCACACACATGTAAAACTTGTACCCAAGACAGAATCCATGTTTCCAAAGGATCATATCTTTGTCATCTGTCAAACGTAGAAGAGAAATCTATAATGGAGAGCTATCAATATTTATGGAAGCTCACCTGACATTTCAAACCTCATTTCCCAGGTTCGGTATTGCATGGAGAACTTCCACAGATCTAGGACCCTGCTGTAGAAAGCCCCCTCTAAGTATGTAGGGGAATGAGAACAGTATCCAAAGAAAGGAAGGGCAATGTTTGTGTCTGTATTTCCCATTCTTATATGTTAGGAGATGAGTTAGGTCTAAAGAAAACTATAAGATCTTATTCCACAGAATTCTAATTCTAGTTTACTTCTATTTGTCTTCCAGAGAAGAGGCCATAAAAGGAGCTTGAGTCCCTCCCACAAAGTTCTGACTTTTGACTTTTGCAGAAATAGACCCGAGGTTTTAGAGACATCGTAACAGTTATAGCATTTTGTTTATGTGAAACACACATCTGAACAGTGAGGTCCAGGAATGTACCTAGTTCAAATCCAAGTGGAGAATCTTACCGAATCATGTGGCCAGTGCATATTTTCTGACAGAATATCAACTCGCTTTTAAGCTGGCCCCTCACAGAAAATGTCTAGTTTTCCACATCCCCAGAATATTGGGAAGTCGGTTGCAGGGGCCGGAAGGAGGATATCATCCCATGTTAGCAGGACTCACCGTCTGGTCAGTTAGTGGAGGAAGTACAATTGTCTTCTCCATTGTATTCATGACAAGTTTCCAGAGTTCCTTCAGCACTCGTTTCAGGACAGTCTTCTCACAAATTTTGGCAAACAGAGTCAAGCTAGGATGAAAAAAGTTAACGCAACAAAGAAGAGGATGAGCATTTTAAGGTTAACAGCTGAATGAACATGACAATCTCCAATACTTTGGGCCTGGGATAGGACGGAAAAATTTGGGCTCAAGTATTATATGGGCTGCTCGGAGAGGGATGATCAAGAAAATGCCTGTTTATGTGCATGCATTCACATGAACAAAGATTCCCCAAGCATCTTCTCTGTCCTAGAAATCACATGGCAGTTGAGACTGCTAGGAAGGGAGCTGAAGCCACCCGTGCCCCCTTCTCTATTGATTTAGACTGCAAAAGTCAAAAGAGTCATAGATTGCAGCAAAGAGATACAGTACAGGGAAGTGTAGCTCTTTGTGATCATCTAAGGATCGTCTGGATTTTTTTTTTGCAGGTATGGAAACTTCTGCCCATGCTTAAGGTAGCAAAGTTGCAATCACTGCCAACTTCAGCCTGTTCCTGAAAGGTCCAACAATCACAGAGTCTTCTTAATGAAAAAAGCAAAATCTTGACAGCATTTGCTTTTCTGCTGACTTCCCTCTTTATTTACTGAGCTATGTGGGAAGAAGTGCAGCCCCATAGAATATGCTCGGTACAGATAAACTGAATTTACGACCACAATTGGGACTGGAACTTCCTTTGCTAAGCAAGGCATTTATCAAGTGAGTCACATCACATTTTTTGTGTGCAGGTTGTTAAGTGAATCCAGCTTCCCCCTATTGACTTTGCTTGTTGGCTGAGAAAGCGACAAGTGACAATCACGTGACCACGGGACACTGCAACCATCACAAATACACACCAGTTGCCAAGTACTCGAATTTTGATCATGTGACTGTGAGGAGGCTGCAACGGTCCTAAGTGTGAGGATTGGTCATAGGTCATATTTTTCAGTGCTGTTGTAACTTTGAATGGTCACTAAACCAATGGTTGTAAGTCAAGGACTACCTGTACAAAGCACAGACCACAAAGAAGACTCTATCATTGCTGGACCAAATCTCACTATGGAGGTGCCTCTAAGTTTCTTTTAATTGAATTTTCTCCATGCGGATATAATTAAAAACATAACCTGCCTAGAAAACCAACACTGAGTAGGCAGAGTGCATCTAAGCTTCAAAAATTATATTCAGCAGCCAAATTTTACATTGACAACTTGCCTATGTAAAAATCGTTCTGACTGTTACTCAAAGAATAATTGAAAGACAATTAAATACGGTTTTTAACAAAGGTCAAGAAACAGGAAGTGGTTTAATAAAGAAAAAAATATGCAGGAAAAAAAGTAATTGAAACAATTTAAAAAAATGAAAGAGAAATGCAACAAATAAAGACCCAAAATCTGGTAGCTAAAATTTCTACCTTATACCCCTGGGTCTGCACTCACTTGCTATCCAGGAGGTCCATAATAGGCTGTAAGACGTTGTCAGCATCCTGAGCCACACTGCTGCAGGCACTGGCAGGCACGTTCCCGGTGCCTTTCACTTGGCTCAGGATGTCTCCCATCTGCTTCACACAGTCCTCTATGTGTGGCTGAAAACTGGAGAGAAACAGAAGCGCTCACCTGACGTTCTACTAAAGGAGAGACAAGACCAGCCTCCCTTAACCTGGCATCGTGCTCAGGTGTTTTGTTGGCAACTCCCATAATTTCTGGTTGGGAACTGTAGGCTCAACAGAGCTGGAAGATGCAAAATTGAGGAAGACTGGGCCAGAAGTCTTGAACTAATGTCATAATTCTTGGGCTTTCACTAGTAAATGGGCCTGGTCCAGTTTGCCGTCCCCGCTCCATTGTATACATCCAATATCAAGTGTTCTGCAAGAAAATCATCTCAAGTTAACATCCCATTGTCTTCCGAACTAGCCCTACCTGGTTGCAAATATTCGGCTTAGCTCATCCAAGACATTGTTGAGCTTCACCTGAAGTTCCTTGAGGATATCACTGGCTTCTGTGTCCAACTGAGAGGAGAGAAAAAAACAATGATTATGAGCAATAAACAAAATCACCCTGCTTAAATAATAGAAGCCAGCTTCCAGAATTTATCTCAAATGGGGTATGCATGTCTGTATGTATATGTATTTGCTTATTTATTTACTTACAGGGGCTTAAATGCTTCGCCCCAGTCTAAAGAGACTCCAATGTAAGTCTGTTATATGTATTTAGCTAGCAAAGGCAGTTTTTCACTGGTATGATATCACAGAATGTTTGGCTGTTCAGTGTATTAATGATATTGTCAACTTGGCTCAGATTAAAATCTTTCCAAGAAGTTTGCAGAGGGCTGAGATCTGGTGTTAAAGAGATAGAAAAAATCCTCTATCTTTCTAGAATGCTATTTCTGCCCACTTGCAAGCTTCTGTTTACTTTATTAGATAGTTGATTATTCCTCAGATTAAAATTTTCTACACTATCCTGGAAATCCATTTAGCAATATTAATGTTTTAGATAAATACAGTAAATGTAACAAAAGCACTGAAAGTGAGGAATAAACAGAGGGGAATGAAAACAAAACGCTGATCAATAGAAAAATAAAGCAGATCATTGGGCTGAGGAGAACTAGCCAAGAGTTCTCTCACATGATCTCTAGAAAGTAAACCATTCAAAATTTGCATTTTAGACACTTGAAATACCTTTTGTCAATTAAAAAGAAAAAAATTCCCATGAATTTCCCACCTTCTACTAGTTTGAGAATTGTATTCAATATTCAAGATGAGAAGGCAAAAAAAGGGGGGGGGGAATCAAAAAATCCAGAATTGATTCAGTTTCTTTTGAATTTGTAACTTCAGGTACGTCAAGCTGGGCACAGCTTCTCCATCACTACCCACCTTAATCAAACGAAAGAAAAGCCTTTCCCTTATTGATGAGAAATCAAATCTACCCTTCAGGTCTAATGGGTGAATGGAGAAGAGACCTTGCAGATCAACAGAGATGATGCCTGCAACAGATGACTAAGACCCATCATGTCTTTCTGTGCCTGTCTGGTCCACCTCCAGCCCAGGTGTCCAAGATAATTAAAAAATGCAAACCTCTTTCCCCCCCATAGCTTCAAACATCTTCTCCAGCTGGACACGCAACTGCTGTATGTTGTTCATCAGGATACAAGGCTGGAACAGAAGAATCACATGTATACAAACACATTTAAAGGCAGGTCTATCTCTGATCAACAAACATATGAACATTGTGGTTGAGATGGACATCAATTGTGGTATGAAATGGAGCAACTCTTGCCCTGGAGGAGCAGAACCAGATTCAAGTTAGATTTCTGGAGGAATTTCCTGATGGTAAGAATTATCAAGCAATGGAATAATCTATCCTGTGAACACTATATGTTCCCTTTGCTGAAGGTCTTCAAACTGAGGCTGACATTTGACAAACTGACATCTGATTTGAGCAGATCCTGCATCAAAGAGAGCTTAGGGTAAATTACATCCAAGGTTCTCCCAGCTCTGTGATTCTAGGGTCTTTCAGTTTCAGGGGCAATCTTGATTAAGTCCCCTCACTTCTGTTAAACCAATATTGTTGGTCAACTCCCCTCAATTCTATTAAACCAATACTAAGGGCAACTGCAATATAGGAAAGGGTAAAACTCTAAAACAATAAAGCAATCTCTCTGAAGCTAGTATTCACTTCCAGCAAAGAAAGCTGGAAAAGCTAACTATCCCCATTAATGTTCACCTCCTATAAAACTCTAACTTCAGTGAAACTTCTAAATAACTTTTAGCCAGCATCTACTTCTGTGCAATTTCTATACATGTTCTATACTCTATTCTAGTTCCTGCATATCTGCCCTCCAGATATTTGCATTGGAGGTTCAAATTCCATAGCAATGAATCTTCATACCTCAGGATCTCCTAACCCCAAAGGGGCAGTATGGTGCAACTAGAGGGTTAAGGATTTAATCGATGCCCCTCTATGTCTGGCTCTATATACTGTCCTTCTATTTTTCTTCTCTGGCATTCATAAACAAAACACATATTCTTGGATTCTCATCCTGTCAGGATAAAATTAGCTGTGCACTAAGCTTTCTTCCATTCTTATACTGCAGTGTTTCTCATCCTTAGCAATTTTAAGACGTGTGGACTTCAACTCCCAGAATTCCCCAGCCAGCATGGGAGTTGAAGTCCACACATTTAATGAAGAGAAGGACAAGGGGGGACATGATAGCACTGTTCCAATATCTCAGGTGCTGTCACAAAGAAGAGGGAGTCAAGTTATTCTCCAAAGCGCCTGAAGGCAGGACAAGAAGCAACGGATGGAAACTAATCAAGGAGAGAAGCAACCTAGAACTAAGGAGAAACTTCCTGACAGTTAGAACAATTAACCAGTGGAACAACCTTCCTCCAGAAGCGGTGAATGCTCCAACACTGGAAGTTTTTAAGAAGAGACTGGACAGCCATTTGTCCGAAATGGTATAGGGTTTCCTGCCTGAGCAGGGGATTGGACTAGATGACCTCCAAGGACCCTTCCAACTTTATTATTATTATAGAATTATTACATCTTAAAGTTACCAAGGCTGAGAAGCCTTGCTATACTATAGTTTCTGTTAGAGTTATAAACCTGCTGCACTAATCATTGCTCAGAGTTGATTCTCACTCTTAGGAACATTCACAGATGGACATGCAGAACCTTTTAACCTCCAACATTTGAAGGCTACCAAGAGATGTCTCCAGTCATGAAGCTAAACCTACAAAGCTCCTTCAACTTTTCTTCACAAGCTTTGGTTTCCAAACTCTCTACTTTTCTATTCACCTCCCTCTAATTGCAGTATGGTTTTGTCAACACCCTTCTTACAGTGCAGCATCCAGAACTGAATGTAGCATTGCACTTCACCAGAGTGCAATGATTTGAATACTACATTTCTGTTGGTGCCATCTGAGATGATACTGTGCTCACTTTCTAATATATACAGGATATGAAAATGGAATCCATTTTAATGCTGGTAATTTATGACATCATTTTATAGCCAAAGAGATGTTTTTGGTGCGGACAGGTGTCCTGCCAATGGTATGGTCCACTTCCTTTAGCAACAGTAAGATGGATGGCATATAAATTTGATAAATAGATAAAAACAAATAAATAAACTCTCCACGCCATCCCCATCCTGGAGCCCATCGGGTTCCTTGGGATCCCTGGTTCTGCAGGAAGATTTCAAAAGAAAAGGCATTTCAGAAACTGAAGGCATAAATGCAATACATCACCACTTTTTCCTTCTCCTTGGAGCAGTAGGAAGCAAAGCCTTTAGAGATGATCTCAGCATACTGCAGCAAGACATTGCTAATGGTCTGAAAAGCAAAGTCAATAAGAAAGAGAAGGAGAATGTGAGCAGACATCGTGATCGAATTGTGGCTTATTGGATTACGGCAGAGCCTTCCCCAATCTGACACCCTCTGCATGGGCTGGATCACAATTTTCAGCATTATTCAGCCAGCAGATCCTGACTTGGTAGATGCGTAGTCCACATGGTCAGTATCCCCTTTTGAACAGTAATTAGAAAGATACTTCCAGGCAGACCATAAAAGCAGGATTGAAGATAAGGACACTCTCAGAGGTATATAAGAGTTCTATATTATCTATTATACTTAATATCTAGAAAATGGTCTATTGCAGACATTGAATGGTATTTCTATAGCATACCCAAGATCCATCTACATCAGCCTTGATCTCCCCCAGATATGATGGGCTGCAGTTCAATTCCCCAGCCACAATCCTAATCTGGATTCCCCTAGCACAGACATATCAAACACAAGGCCCAGGGGCCAGATGCGGCCTGCAAAGTGGTTTCATGTGGCCCGCGAAGCCATCCTGGAAACAGTGAGGGAATGGCCCCCGCTGCCTTGGCTCTGGTCCAGGCCGGCCAGGAGCCAATGTACAGTTTTGTGGTGGCCATCTATGCTGAAATGCATTCATTCTTAGCTCCACAAGGCTGTCTAGAAACAGCAAGGAACCAGCCCCTGCTGTGTCGGCCCCACCCTCTGGGTGCATGCTGGGGAGGTGTCACCCTTTGTGAGGAATGAAGAAATGGACCATGCCTTGGCGCTTGCCCCGGCCCCACCCCCTTCTCCCAGAGACCCCCAGATCTGTCCCACTCCTGCCCAGACCCCCACAGGCACCCTTGACGTGAACGATGTAGAGCTGGCCATGCCCACCCAGTAGGTCACACCCACTCCATCCACGCCCACCCAGTAGGCCGCACCCACCCTGGCCACACCCACCCATCCCCCCAAGGGCAACTGCAATGCTGATGCGGCCCTTAATGAAATTGAATTTGACACCCCTGCCCTAGCAGCTAAGTGGCTGTCTTCATAACTCTCTTGAGTCAAATAGACTGAGATAGTCCTTCTACAGCTGTGGAAACATTCTAGGAAAAGATGGAACAATAGGGTCAGGTCCAAATGTGTTTTGACCTACCTTGCAATTGTTTTTAGTTCAAAAAGATTCCTTGGCTGGTCAACTTCTCTGAGAGTATTCCTTGCTATCATTGGCAAGGCAGAAATTAGAAGGATAAATCAGTAGTGACCATAGGAGGGAACTGCTCCTTACCTTGGCAAACCTGCGCATGTAATGGCCTACAATCTGTGGATCAGGGCACTCCAACTTCTTGATAATCTCAAAGCTTTGGTTGAGTTGGGAGAAGACATCAACCACAGAACAGGAGAAGAGGGCATGTTCTGAAGTTTGTTGGAACTGGAAGAAGACCCAAGAAGATTGAATGAGAAGCTAACTTCTATCAACTGAGTTAGAACATTTATCTTGCTAAACTCATTCTTGCCTATTGAAATGGAATTCTAGTGAATTACCAGATATTTATAAGATAATAATATTTTGCGAAGTTGTTGTGTGGATAAATGTTTGACATACTAGTTGTTATGTCACACTGGTTCTTTCTAAAATATGTCTCCCTCAAAAACTGCCACAAAGAGTTGTGTTCCAACAGAATTCATTTCTGAGGCTGTTTTATTATTATTATTATTATTATTATTATTATTATTATTATTATTATTATTATTATTATTATTATTATTATTATTATTATTATTATTATTATTATTCTGGTGAAACCACATGCAAATCTTCAGACTGGTACATTACCCCATCTTTCTTGTCTCGTTCTAATGCTCCATGCAAGAAATCTCGTGACACTTCCTCGTTCTCATCCAGCCATTGGATAACAAAAGGTTCAAACCATCTAGAGAAACAAATGAAAAAAAAAAGTGTAAGGTTGAAATCAAGAAAATCTATCTTGGCCAACTCAAGAGAATTTGAAAATAGTGATGGGTAAGAATTTAGTTCAATTTTTCATCAAAACTTACCAAGCTTTGCAAATCTCATTAAAAACAGGATGAAAATAATTCAGTTTTTTTCCCTTTAATGAATGAGGGAAAAGTTTTTTAAAAAGTAAGTTCTTTTGAAATTCTCCACTTAACATATTCCTTAACTGGCTTTAGGAGCATAAAATCTCTTTTCTGAAGAAATCTAAAGAAACTGGTATAAATTTTCTAAAAATTAGAAAGGGGTGAACTCTGGAATTTTTCTCCTAAAATATTAGAGTTAGAAGAGGCAGTTGAGATGATGAGGTCTAGCCCCTTGCTTAACGCAGAAATCCAAATGAATACATCCTGAGAGTTAGCTGACCAGCTTCTGCTTGATCACAATTGTTCAGTCTTAAGAAAAGAACATTGTTGTGAAGATCAGTGGATGATGGGAGATAAAAGAGAACCAAATAAATAATTTGAATAATTTGAAGTGGGGCCACTGAATGGCTTGGTCTGGAGAAATGGGTATAACCTGGAAAAGGCAGAACAGGTGAGGCCTGCCCTGAGATGCTCACAGGTATGGTTCCTACCCTTTAACAGCTGCCAAGCAAAAACTGAATTTCATATACCTGATTCTTCATTGTTATACTTTATATTGGTTATACTTTCTAATTCTGCCATTTTTGTGGAAGTAGTGTTTTTGATTCTTTTAGTATATCTTTGAATGATGCTCAGATGGGTTCTGTTCAACACTACAAAAGTTAACTCAATATTCTTTTGCAATGATAATGTACTTTGAAAATTTCTGAGTTTCCCAAACTACATGGAGGTAGATCTTTAAAATTCAGGAAGGTCAGAAATTTTTGAAGCCAGTTTATGGTAAGTAAGGCCAAGGTTTAAGCATTAGGAAACAACAAAGGCACTTACGCTGGGTATTCAGGAACCCGACTCGTGAAGGAAGGAAGATCTGTGACATATTCATTGTACAACCATTTCACCTTAAAGTGCAGGTTCATATAGTCAGCACTCTTGCATAGCCGATGTTTGTCATGCTCTACATAGTAATAGAAGAGAATGAAAGAGAAAGAGATGATTCTTGCAACAGGCTTACAGGGTCTGAGTTAACCAGGCAGAATTATCCAGAGATAAAACAAGATCCAAAAGCAAATTGTGGGAGGAGATAGGAAAAAAGTGGGCGTGGATGGGGAATGCACATAGCAATGGCCCAGGATGGAAATGAAATAAGGGTTTAAACCTGTGAATGAATTGAAAAGTGGATGGTCTCCTCTGAAAATGTTTTTATGTGCATTTAGCCTGGGTGTATTGCTTGGCACAATCCCAGTTTGTCCAGAAAGATCAGAAGCTCAAGGAAATCATTGATGAAGGGAAAAGACACATGAGAAATCAATTTCTCTCTAAGAATGAGCAGTGCATCCTCTTCTTAAGACCCCAGGGAGACTCACCTTCCATTGCATACTTCATGTCCTGAGCAAAAAGGTTCCACATAACCTCTGCGCTGATCTTCCCGACATTCAGCTCTTGAGGGAATCTGTTAAGAATTCAAAGGCAGAACTTCACTCTTCTGTCAACATGAAAGATACACTAAGATACCTGAATCCTGCTAACAATGATTTGTGCATTTTCTTTCCCCTCTTTTGAGCATTCTCGGGATGTACTCACTGGTTGAGGCAAGGTGTGTATGAGTTCTTATCTTCTTCAATGATTGATACTATCAAGGTTATAAGTTTGGACCAAAAGTCTAGATTCTTGATGCTGGGACCCTGTTCCTCTGGTGGCACTTCACCCTTCTTGGTCTAGGATGATTGGATGGGAAGGAAGAACGAGGGAAAAATACACATCAGTTTAGCAAACTCATCTTTATGTCCCCTTGTAGAAACTAGAAGATCAAGGAGAGATGAAAATTGAGTAGGGCATCATTAGATTAGAGGCCTTCCTCAAAGTGATGTTTTTCATCACTTCTCCAGTCCATATATTTCCCAGCAACATGGGAAAAGTCAGTTATGACAGAGTGCCAGTCCACTCACAGGGTCAGTTTGGTATTCACGACTATAGAGTTCATGGCAGTTGTTGAAGATGTATTCATAAGTTGAATTGAGGCAGGCCTTCACACAATCCTTCACCACCTGACTGGCTCGTGGTGGACTCTGGAGCTCTTGGACCTGCATAAAACAGCGATAAGAAGGGTGCCAATTACTAGAAGCCATAAACTAATATAGTGCCTACTTTAAGAAGCATCAAACTAAAAGAGGCATAAAGGATGATTGGAAAATAAGTTTTAAAAAGAGAGATTGAGGAAACTGGTTATGTTTAGCCCAGAGGAAAAAACATGTGAGAGTGATATGAAATATCTGAAAGAGTATCGCCCAGAAACAGATCAAGACCTGTTAACCTTCAACTCAGTGTGTAGGACACACAATACAGAAAAGCAAATTTCACTTAAATGCGAAGAAAAGCTTTTTAGAATTAAGAACAGTTTGGCAAGGAACAGTTTCTCTAGGGAAGTGGTAGGCTCCCTTTCATTGGATTTTTAAAACAGAAAGTGAATAGTCACCCCTTCCAATTCTACAATCCTATTATTTTAATTACCAACAACACCTCTTGACCCAACAGGCTCATTCTTTGTAAAGCTTCTATTTTTCTGAATCACTCTCTGGATTGAGACCAGAGTCACAGAGATCTGAATTTGGTTGGGCTGTTTCTGGAGCTTTGAAACAATGGAACGGGCTATTCTTACACAACTGTAAACCAGATTAAATCACACAACAAGTAGTACCAGAAATTAAAGATGCACAAAATGACATTTCCTTCCATCTTTCCAGGATTGGGAGGGGGGGGGGGAATTGGAGATTTACCTTCATCCGAAAGAAAGTGATGCTGGTCAAGAGGTCCACTGTTGATTTAAGGTCCTGCAGTCTTTCAGGACTGCTGGCAGGGAAATTATTCTGAGAAACAGGAGAAATTGCAGCAATCATTTGATATTTCTTCATTCATCTGTCAACTTACACACTCCCTACCACTGCCTTTAATCTGCTTGTATAAATCTTTCTAGCTCCTTTATGGACTACTTTCTGGCAATGCTATTGTTCTTAACAAGACAGTCCTGCATATATCAACAGAAAATAAGAATGAAAAAACACATTTGGTTTTCATTGTAACGGAAACTACTAGTGTTGGAGGTGTCTGAATTGTTGGAGGTAAAAGATCTCCCCATATATACTTGTGAGCTTCATTCACTATCAAATCAATGAGATATTCCCCACCCTCATATAGGTGACATGTTTAAAATGCTACTGTAAAAAACCTTCATAGCAAATTGAATTGACCCTGAGTAGCAACAGGAGAAAGCATTTGTCAGGATTCTTTCATTTCTTCCTCTTCTTGGATTGTTTTGCACTTGAGTTTAGGTTTTAGGTTTTTTTTATTTCACGTTTAGGTATTTTTTATAAATACCTCAAGGTGGCAAATATACCTAATACCCCTTCCTCCTCCTATTTTCCCCACAACAATAATCCTACTGTATGAGATGAGTTCGGCTGAGAATGTAACTGGCCCAAAGTCACTCAGCTGGCTTTCATACTTAAAGAGGAACTAGAACTCACAGTCCCTGGTTTCTAGCCTAGTGCCTTCACCACTAGACTAAACTTGATCTCTCACCTTGTCACACTGGAAATGGAATTTATCTTTGTTCAAGGTCATTTTCTGTACTTTCTACAAATGGCCTGCATAGCATGGATTATCTTTCAATCCATCTTTCTCTGATAGTCTTTGCCTGCCATACCAGATTGGGCAATCCATCAGTGAAGAGGTATGACTTGGTGGGTTCTAGGAAGTGTGCCTCCTCTGTCAAGGCCCCTGTTTTGTGGAACAGCTTCCCCTCTGAGATATGGACAGCTTTGACTTCTGGAAGGCCATAAAGACCTGGTGATTCCTCCAGGCACTGAGGCCATGAAGTTAGCAGAATAAAGAATAACACAGCTGTGATGCGTATGTGGGTCTGCTTTTTAGATTGTTATTGAAATTTGAGTAAGGCAGTTCAACTAGATTTTTCTTTAATGGAATTGTGAGTTTGGTTTTGATTTATCTTTCTCCACCACCCAGAGTGCCTTTGGAGATAGGCAGATATATAAACACGCTGAATGAATGAATGAATGAATGAATTAATTAATTAATGAACCAACCAGAAAAGTGGGAGCAAGTTTAACGTTCTGACACTGTGCTCCTTGTTATCTACATAAACAAAAGGGGACCAAAAACTTGCTTCTTTTCATACAATGACAGATGAAAATTCAACAAGCCGGCCTTTCGTTATCTCAAAGAATCTGCCTGTTTCCTGTTCTAAGCAAATGCCCCTCCTTACCCGATACATTGAGAGATCGATCCTCAGGGAATTGTGTAGCTGGTCCAGCAGTTTGACAAACCGTTCTTTCTGCAAAAAGAGAGAGCCCCAAAAGAAGGTAAATGAAGTTATAATAGCGAGACTTTGAACCCCCTCCCTCCGTGCCCCACCGTTGGTCTTGACCTTGTTCAGGGTTTGTCAATTTAATATAATCAAGATTAAGAAGTCATTCTTGAACTTTAGGGCAGGGAATTGGTTGAGTGATGCAAAGCTAAAAGACACCTACAAATAATCTTATTTGGCCTATCTTCTTTTGAACATTGGTTGGAAGAATCCTACCACCTCCCACACTTCCCTCCAAATTGCCCTTACCATCTTCTTTTCATGAGGAGCACTCCAGATTGAGACACAATTACAGTTTTGTTGCAGACTTACAGAGAAAGAGTAGGATGTCCACATTTTGGAGTAAATGGCAATCCACTGGAAATCCCAGCTCTCTCTTTATGGAATCCTGGTTTAGCTGCTTATGCCTTGATCCAAGAAATTGGATCTGTGAACTTGGCAAAACCTATGCATCGGATCTGCTTTTATCAGAGAACAAACCCACTTAACTATCTGACCTTGAAGATGCTGTTATAAATGCCCACTGCTACAGTAATAAGCTCCAGAACTTTGTTCTGGTTTTTGCAGAGAGAAAAAGGAAAATCAGATTTGATTCTTTAATCCAGGGATGGGTAAACTGTAGCCTCAAATTTCTTTTTTGCTGATATCTGGGACCCTAAGAAAGATTGCCCACTCTGGTCCTAATTTCCTATACCTAACTAGGATTGGTTCAACCTATTGGGGTGTATTAAGCAAGATTTCCTGATCAAGATGCTTCTGCCATCATTACTACCGCAGTTCCCAAAGATTCTTGAGCAAAGCAGAGGAGACAAGGGACTTAGCATTGGTGCGACATTGCATGCAAAGAGCAAAACAGTCCTTTAGAAAATAACCACCCCTTAGGGCACCCCAGTCTTTCCCAATCCAATTACATAGGCTAACTCCCATCCTTTTAACTGCATTTCCCTGCCCCTCTTCTACAATTCCATCTCTGGCTTTCCAAGGCCTAGTCCTGGCTGATGTTCTGTTTCTTAATAGCACTGGGCATACACAACTACACATGATATGAAACGTTTGCCAAATTGCCAGGCTGATATCAAAAAAACTCCCTCCTGGCTACCAGGCTACAGTCACATTTGCTGTTCTTTTTAACATGGCACAGTGATATTAAGAAACCAGACCTATGCCCGCCAGCAAGACTCATGTGGAGAAAAAAGTGTATGTTAGAATTGTGTTGTAAGTGTAGATGCTGACAGTTTTTGTATCAGGGATCTTTGTCAGTGGAATTTCAGCCATGTACTCTCATTTTTTTTACCCAACTTCTGGGATAATTTATCATTCTTTCCATGGCTAAGAATGGCAGATATTTATATGGAAACATCTATTTTCCTTTATTCATGCCTCCATCCTCAATTTTGCCATTGCCTCTGTTGTGTCTTTTAGGTTTGATTTTTCTCAGGATTGAAAGCTATTCTCTTATTCTTGACCCTATGTCAAGATAGCATTGCTTCACTTCTATGGGAGAAAAGAAACTTCAACAACACAGGAGAGAACATTTGACACTACGGTGATAGTGGAGGGACGTGTGGTAATCCAGAATCTAGGAAAAAATAAATCTGGTATCCCTCCTGATGTTACAATTGCATAGAAGTGAACAGGCATGGTTGACAATTTAACCCTGGCTTATACAACTGCACTATCTGAAGTCACATAAGGGATGAACTGGAAGTGTATTTCATGTTTATGGGGGTTTTAAATTCTCAGTGACAAGCAAAAAGGCAGAATATAAACTGTGAAAACAAATAATACGTCTTCTCTGTATTGATGAAACAAGGGCAGATTGAGTGATCAGAGGTTTTGTAGGAAAAGCTTCTCCCTAGAGTTATATCAATTTACCATCATAAATATGTTCTACAAGCTGTTCTATGTTAAATGCAGGAAAATGTGCTTCCTTTGATTTATAATGCTCTTCAGCTACAATTTGATTTTAGTCTTGATTTGAATAATGGTTTGTTATATCTTTAGCTCCTTCAGGTGGGGTTTTCATTTCATCTATGTTACACTTGTGTTTGTGTTAATTGATAAAATGTTATAGGGAAAGCAATTTTGATGCAACTGCATTCCCCTGCAGAAGTGTTATTTTTAGGTATGTTTCTCTGCTACAGATTTATTTTCTTACTATTCAATAAAACACATTGATAAGCTACTGGGGAACGGAAAACCTAAATGCAAGAATTCAGGTAGTCCTCACTTAACAATCAAGATAGAATTATGAAAAGTCTTTGTGGTCATTAAATGGATCACCACGTGATCTAACGTGATTTTATGATCATTTTTACCACCACTATAAAGTGAGCTGCTGCAGTCATTATGTGGTTGTTACATGAATCCATTCTCCCAAATGGGGATTTTTTTTTTATCAGAAACTGGCAAAAGCATTGCAAATCATTTTCATTTGAGTGTTGAATGCTGCAACTGGTCGTAAGTACAAGCAGGCTGCAAAGCACTCAAAATGCAATCACATAACTGTGGGAGTGTGGGACGGCACTTGTAACTTTAAGGATGAGTCATAAGTAACTTTGGGGGAGTTGGTTACAAAGAACAGAACAGAATAGAATGGAATATTCTTTACTGACCAAGTGTGATAGGACACACAAGGAATTTGTCTCTGGTGCTTAAGCTCTCAGTGTACATAGAAACAACAAATAATTTAATCATAAGATACTAATTGGAGAAGGTAGTAGGGAAAATGAGAAGGATAATAATAATACAGACCCACTACATAGATAAATATCCTTAGACATAAGACAGTGCTGTGGGAATTAGGTATTCAGCAGAGTGATGGCACAAAGGAAAAAAACTATCTTTCTGTCTAGTTGTTTTGGCATGCAATGCCCTGTAGCTGCATCCCAAGGGGAGGAGTTGAAACAATTTATGTACAGGATGAGAGGGATCTGTAGATATTTTCTGAGCCCTCTTTCTGAGCTATGCAGTATACAGATCCTCAAGGGAAAGAAGGCTGGTTGCAATTGTTTTTTTTTCCTGCAGGCCTAACTATCCGTTGAAGTCTGCACCTGTCCTGTTTGATTGCTGTGCCAAACCAGACAGCTACAGAAGTACAATGTTGAATGATCGTTAAGCGAGCAGTTGTTAAATGAGGACTACCTGTACAGTGGCTGCATGATAAATCATTTTATGTAATGTTTGATTTGACACATAAGTATACTGTGGAGAATCAGCACAGTATAAGAGAAAAATAATCTTGATTCAACGGCGGGGCTTTCTGGCACAGTTTAAAATGATTTTTGTGTGTGTGGAACAATTGCATCTGGATTTATTTTATGTGTTATTTTACTTATGAAAAATGATGAGGCTTAAATGTATCACCTCAGATATACATATAAGTGCCCTGCAGTGACAAAAACTTAAAGAAACTGAAACCTGAAGTAAATTATCCATGAAATTAGGACTGTAAAAAACAAAAACAAAACAAAAAGTTAGAGTAATAGACTCTTCAGGTATCAATTTCATTCAACAACTAAAACCAAAACATTTAAATGTACCAAAATAATAGCAATAATAATCAATAATTTTGCACCAGCTAAAGAACTGGCAGCTGTGATTTCGTGCTGTAGTGTATATAATAATATTTTCTTATTGCCTTTTTAAAGCAAAGATGTGGGAAGAAATTCAAATAGAGAGCATTTCAAAAGCATCTCAGATTTTAACTTCTTTCATTGGTTCAGAAACTGGCTCGGCTCAGCTTCTTAAATGAATCTGTTCCTTACTAGGCCTAGTGCTGGAAAATATGGACTAGCCAATGTCAATGGAAGCAGGGATCTCTGCAGAGGGGTCAAAAAAAGTCAATATGGCAGCCCTGCCTTTGCAGCTGAAACCCAGCCCCTTTTTTACATGCATCACAACCGCCATCATCACTTTTTTGGAATTCCCTGCAGCGGACACCCTGACACACTAATCCAGTGATGGCGAACCTTTTAGAGACCGAGTGCCCAAACTGCAACCCAAAACCCACTTCTTTATCGCAAAGTGCCAGGGCTGTATCAGCATTGTGGTGCCCTTAAGGGGGGGTGGGGGGCGTGGCCCATTGGGTGGGCGTGGCTGCAGTGATCATGGCAGAGTGGGTGAGCGTAGCCGGGGCCAGTCCCTCGCCATCACTGAGGGGCCAACGCCGCTTGCTCACTCACTTCCTGCCCTGTCGCTTCCAAACGCCACGTGCTCGCTAACTCTGGTGAATTCTGCTGGGGCAACGGTGCAAGTGCCACAGAGAGGGCTCTGAGAGCCGCCTCTGGCACGCGTGCCATAGGTTCGCCACCCCTGCACTAATCAATCATTTCATTTCAATGCCCTTGGGAAACTCCTCCTTGGATGAAATAATTAAGGAATTTTAAGGGAACCAGAATTGTTTTCGGAATATCTGACATGATGTCTTTACTCCATCTATAAATTATTATTTTTTTAGTGTTGTAAATAATGTCTTTTGTGCATAGTGATGGTCTTGTGTGTGTCTGCTACAATCTCCATTGAAAAATATACAGCTACTTTCCTAAAGTCTCCTAACTGGCCCCTTATACTCACTTCACAGTGCTCCCGAACTCCTTCTCCCCCCCCCCCACCCCAACCTGGTCTCTGCCATCATGCATTTCTGGTTCTCCCCTTCCAGGTCGTTGTTCCCATCCCCTCCACCCCCCTCCTTCCCTCCCTCCTTCCTCCCCCACCCCTGTCCTGCCTCTTCCTCTAGCCCTAAGGCACAAGAGACAACAAGAAGCGATCCTTGCAAAAAAAAGAGCACAGATGCGCATCCGGCAAACATAGGCTCCGTAGCACGCCTTAGCACCGGCCACGGCACACAGAGGGTTAAAGCGACACAGTCTGGTTTTTTGGGGGGGAGGGAAACACCCAATTTTTAGGCTCTCTGAGAGGAAAAAAGAAGAAAGAAACAAGATTTGTACACAACCTAACATTTGCTTTATCAAAACAATACGACTTTTTGCAGCGGTGACTCAGACACATAAACGGAAAGAGGCCCACACAGACCTTAACCAGAGGACACAACTGGCTATATAAAGAAGCACATCCAGAGGCTTGTTAAGACACATCTCTGTCACAATGAAAAGAGGTCGGGTTCCCTTTCCTCTCACTCCATCCAAAGTGTACGAACTTTGTTGTTTGGGCTCGATTAGTCCATAATACTGTAGTTTCAAGTTCAGTGATGGAAACTGTTGATTTAGAGCAGGCGTCTCCAAACTTGGCAACTTGAAGGCTTGTGGACTTTAACTTCCAGAATTCCCCAGCTAGCATGGCTGGCTGAGGAGTTCTGGGAATTGAAATCCACAAGTCTTGAAGTTACCAAGTTTGGAGACCCCTCATTCAGGGAGCATGACAAGATCAGATGAAGCCATGAAGTTAGAAGCCACTGGCTTCAAATGGTGTGTGAACAAGCCTCTGTTAGCCGACTTTTTAAAAGTGCACAAGAGAGAAGAAGATACATCTTAGAAACGCTGTTAAGGTAAAAAAACATAATGGCATTTGTCATCTGAAAGAGACCACAGTTCAAGGTCACTTTCCCCAGGGCAAACGTGTAAGGACCTCACTGGATAAATCCACTCCCCCCACACACACCAGAACCTACAAGTAGAGGGCCTAGTTGGGGTCCTAATCTTCTGAAGCAGGACTTCAGATGCAGAGTGGAAATCTGCACCCCTTTTGAGGGAAAGTTTACTCCCAGCTGCTCTGCTTTATAAAGGCTTTCTAGTTTTCAGATTACAAAGGTATATTACATCAAAGCTTATTAAAGCTATGTATCTGTAATCAAAGAATACGTGCTAGAGATGACATGAGCTTGGCTTCACTGGACAACTGATGCCTCTTCTGGTTGGCAGATGCTTCCCAAGAGCTCAGCCAAAGAGAGTCTTTGCAAAGACTTGGGAGATGTGAAGCACCTAAGCCTCATGACCCAGTGGGTTAATAGAGAGGCAGCCATCTTGTCCAAGGTTGCAGCATTGTGTATGTGTTTGTATTCCTTTGCTCACATTATGCAGTTGTGGGGCCATAGTGTTCCATTGAATAGGCAGTAAGCAAACTCAACAAGTAAAGCAAGAGTTGAGTGGACCAGCTTCACCCTGTGCCTGCTAACCTAGCCTCCAGTCTGTAGACGTTGTGGAAGCTGCTCTGTTACCCACACTAAAGTGAATTCGGCAGCCGTTCCATCTAGCTTTTGTGTGGGAGGGTCCTGATCTTCAACAGAAGAATGTTTCAGTGTAGGTTTGCTTCCAAGGGGGTCCTTTCAGGACGCCCTTGGATTTACGCCTCTGAATGTGGATCCTCAAGAACCACAACAGTAACCCCAAACAGATGCATAATCCTTGTTGTGGCTGGCGGTGACCTTGATAAACAGCCAAGTCTTGGGAGATGAAGAAGCCAAGCGAGTCTGGATGGCCACGTGCTACCTGGAGAGTGTCACCACCTTCCAGATTATGAATCCAGGGTGATGACTGAGAAGCAGGAGCAGAAAGCCCCACCTCCAGTTTTCACAGAGAGCTTCTTCTCCCACTAGTTTGCTTTCTTGGAGAAGTCAAGTACCATTTGTTCCACTACACCTGCCTACTGAATAGGGAGTGAGGCAGGTGAAGAGGTGCAAAGAGATCTAGAAGTATGGTTTGGGGGCTTTCCCTTTTAAAACAGAGATGGGCCACTTGAGAGTCAGACGCAGCCCCCAGCATCCCATCTGCTTAACTGAGATTTAGGGGCATTTTATAGAGGGGAATGGGAAGACAAGGGCTCCCATGCCCACTTTTAAAACTCTCTTAAGGTCCTGAGGTCAAGCAGAAGAAGGGTGGAAGATTTTCAGCCCCAGCCCTTCTCAGGGCATCATCACCTGATCTTTGTTAATAAAACAAAGATGACCCCCCCCTCCAAAAATCATGTTGGCAGCCATGATGGTACAATCAAATATCTGCCTGTTTGTGACCTGTTTGTGAGGTTTTAAAAAACCTTTTCATTGGGAAACTCCACTCCTATTGAATATTGGAACTTCATTTTTGGACAAATCTTTGCTTTTCTATGAGGGATAGAAGATAGCAAGGGCAGGATCCTTCAAGGTTTAATTCTCCAGTTTATGACCCCACATTTCCCCATACCTAACCAGGCCCTGGAAGCCCTTCATTTATTAGGTGGCTATTTGCTAGTCTTTATAGTATTTCCAGACATCACTATTTTAGGGAAGTTACCCACAGAAACCAGCCTATGGGGATCTAAACTCCAAGAACAGTATGGTTGCTCTGAGGGAAGTGATCTCCAAAATGGCCTTCCTTTTTAAACATTTTAACTTGGGGGAGCTCAGCCGCATCTCTTTCAGATAACATCCTGTCACCATTTGAAAGCCTTCCTGGTTTAGTAGGTGGTTTGTACATCTGTATATAAAAAGAGACGGGCTCTCAGGACTGTGCAGATCACCAGTCTTTAAAAAAATCAATAAAGTCTTCTGCATTGTTAACCCACCTCTCAAACCCCAAGTTTTCATTATCAAAATATGAAGTACGAACGGTTGCAAACCCTACTGTTAACCTGTAGAAGTTATGATTACTTCTTTCATCATGGAACACAAGGAGACATGCAGAGAGATGTCTAAGCAATCTACCATCTGGCCTTCAGCGGAGTTCAGACATGCTTAGCTACAGCTAGGTGACTCCAAATCTTGCTGGCTTAAGAGCTTTCCAGGCTGATCTAAGTCAGGACTGCCTCTTAGGGCTCCATCCAGGTGTTTCTGGAAAGCTTAACATCGGCATTTCTAGACTGATTGTTATTTTGACTTTCCGGTCTATGTGTGTAATGAGCTGTGAGAATAACCTCAAAAAGAACCAAGGCCAAGGCAACAGCCAGATAAGAGAAATCTGAGTCCAAATAGACTTAGGAATGGGAAAGTGTCCCAGAATTTACCTCACTACTTTATTTATTTGTTTAATTTATATGCCACCCAGGGTGACATGGGTGGCTTACAACTGCATTCTCTCTAGGATAAAGGTGGAGAAGGGGGCATATTCAGAGTTGCAAGACTCTGTTAGTGTAACTCTATAGTAAAGATAATTTAATAAAGTCCAGGCCTGGTCTTCTCTTGAAGGGCTGACATCAATCTTGTAACTCTGAATAGTTCTTCCTCGTGTTTATCAAAGTTACTCTCACAACCCATTATAATGCTATGTCCTGGAATATGCTGGTGGTCTTCCATCCACATAGTGACCAGGTCTGGCATGGTTAGTGTTTTAAGATCAGTAAAACTGGGCCAGCTAGGAGGATCCAAGTTCAGATTTTGTTCTCATTCCCAAAGCTTCCTAATATTCAGTCACTCTAGTGGCTTTACAGTCCAGCCTGCCTTTCAGGATTCTTATAGGGATAATTTGGGAGAAGGAAGCACATGTACTACTTTTTGCATCTTGGACAGTGGACAACAGGTTAAATAAATTGTTTGGAAAGAAAGGGAGAAGAGGAGAGGAGAAGGAGAAGGAGAAGGAGAAGGAGAGGAGAGAACATTTGAGGAAAGGAGAGTGGAGGGAGGGAGGGAGGGAGGGAGGGAGGAAGGAAGGAAGGAAGGAAGGAAGGAAGGAAGGAAAGCTGCCCTAATTATTTGGAAGTCTAGAACCATTAAACCAGGGAGCTTTGACCTGGTTTCAGGTTGTGACCACTGCTATGGGAGGGCTCTAGGAAAAAGACACCTCAGGATTGACTATATTTTTCAAGTAATCCCTCCTCTGCCAATTGTTTTCCCTATTAAACTCAGCCCTGTTTGAATTTGTTCTTGCTCACATTGAATCATAGTTTACCAACCTCTGTGTTGACTTATGTAGGTTGGGCAAACGTGTTCTCTCTTTCCATTGGAGAGATATGTGCAGTGTAAATACCACCACCAACCCCTGGTACATCAAAGGATTCCCTAGAAATCATTTGATCAGGCTGTGAGGGTTTTCCCCCACCACAAAATTTCTTCTGGGATTAAGTGAGTGGCTGCACACAAAGGATCAGGTGTCCTTTTTCACCAGGCCACCCCCTCTGTCATCATGCACCCCCCAGGAAAAAAGCAAAGAGTAAAAGTAAGAAATGAGTGTTCTACGCACCATCGGACTTACCCCGAAATTGGAAGCGGCAAAACGGTCAGAGGCAGAGACATTGGTGGAGGCAGTAGTATGCGCATAATAAGCATTAATGTTGGCCAATAAAGTACTCATTACAGCAGGCACCCCTGGGCACATATATTTTGAGGAAAGGCAGGCAAAGTGCCTGCAACATGGAAACAGAGAAAAGGGAAAGTTCAGGCAGTTTCTAAGCCAGGGAACAGTTTGGGATTGGTGGACACATATGGTATTTTAAGGAAATTTTGAGTTCACTGTTATAGAATTTTGGGTTCACTATCACAGAATAATTGTTACTGTGCATTTAACCTTTTGAGGTAAGCCAGGTCAGGAAACAGATATCACAAAGGCTATTGGAACTTTATTTTTATTGTTATAGCATATAAAACCAGAATCCTGGAAGTTAACCATATTTTCATTTCCCTCCCCATTGTACCAAAGAGATTCAAGATGCAGTCAAGTTTCTTTCTAACATGCCTTTCCAGTCCTAGGCTTAATTTATATTTCACTAACTGCCACATTCCTTCTCCAAAATCACCTCCGTAGTTCTCTGCACTGGACTTACAGCCAGTGCTGATGTTGCTATCTTTTCATCTTTCTATTGTCTTTCTGCTCACAATTTTTGACCTTCAAGATCCCTGTAGAAGAGGGATGGGCAACTATGGCACCTTTACGACCTGTGGACTTCAACTCCCAGAATTTCTGAGCCAGCATGGCTCAAGAATTCTGGGAGTTGAAGTCCACAGGTCGTAAAGGTGCCATAGTTGTCCACCACCCTTGTTGTAGAAGGATATCTAGCCAAATTGCAACCTGAGATTCTTTAATGAATATGCTTGGTCAACATGCCCAAGTAATGATTCTCTATGTACAGTATATGAATTTTATCAACATTTTTTAAACAGGAAGGGTGCAGATGCACTGCCTTTGAATCGCTGGAATTCTGATGTTCTGGAGATCCAAGATAAATATACAGTCTGTCCTGAATTACAGATACTCACGTCATAGCCTGATAGATGGACTCCACTCCGTATCTCATAGCAAACTCATCCACAATCTCCTGGGCAGTTTCGTCAAAATATACTTTCCAAGCATCGTCCCCCTTTGCATCTGGGATTTTAACAACACCATTGTTTTGGATATCCGTCACAAAATGGAATAGGTTCTAAAAGCCATTTAGAGAAGGAATAAAATTAAATCAGAAGGCTCACATGACTGAGATGGTCGAGAAAGGAGAGTAGTTTGTATCTGAGGTTAATAGAACACTGCTATTTTTTTTTGTTCAAATTTTTTTATTAGTTTATCAAAATATTAAATACAAAGAAAAATGAAAATAAAGGGAAAGTAGGGAAGGAAAAAGAGAACAGGAAAAAGTGTAGAAGAAAAGGGAAAAAAGAAAGAAAATCATTGATCTCTGATTCTTTTTATCAGAATAGAATAAGATAATAACATACAGCCTCATTTTTTTTTTACTTTTGTATAATAATACATAGTAGCCACTTTTATAACAACAAACCCAAAGTCAAAGTTTCATTTTTTCCACCTCAAGCACAAAGTCCAGAAGTGGTTTCCAAGTGGAAACAAAGTTAGCTGTATTCTTTTCTTTGATTATGGAAGTCAAGTTAGTCCCCTCTGCTAATTCCATCAGTTTTTCCAGCCAGTCATCCTTTGTGGGAATTAAAGTGTTAACTTTAACTAATGTTGATATTATCTTGAGAAAAACTCAGCAAAACCATTGTGCTTAGATGTGTTAAAACTAGGCATCATATCCATAAGTAGACCTACTTTCCTTTGGAACAGAAATCATGTTTTATGGAATGAGAGGCGGGGTTGTTTTTTTTTTTTCTAGCAAACGCTTGTCAGGCTCTTTGGCAACTACTTAAAATGGAATGGCTTGCCTTCAGAAGTTATAGATGCTCCATCACTGGAACTTTTTAAGAAAAGATGAGACAGTCATTTGTCCAGAATAGTATAGGATCTCCTGCTTGACCAGGGGATTGGACTACAACAGGGGTCCCCAATACCCAGACCACTACTGGGCTATGGCCCATTCAGAACCGGGTCATGCAAGCAGCGGGTGAGCGTGCGTACATATGCAAGTCAACTAGTATAAGCTGCAGACACTTGTGCTGGCAGTCCCACTTCTGTGAGTGGCAGGCGCGTGTGCCTGCCACTCTCACAAATGGAGCTGTGCGTGCTCACACGTGCCCGCCTACCCCTCACACAGAACCATCCTTTCTCCCTCCCCCCTCCATGCCAGGCCATCAAGCTAGAAAGGTTGGGGACCGCTGGACTAGAACACCTCCAAGGTCCTTCTAAGTCCATATTTTTTTTCCTAACAGCCTTCCTGTGATCCTCTGAGGAGGCAGGTCAATTGACTGTCAGTAGGGACTGTCAGTAGGGACTGTCAGTAGGGACTGTCAATAGGGACTGTCACTAGGGACTGTCAGTAGGGACTGTCACTAGGGACTGTCAGCAGCTGGCTGATTTTTTGCTTATTTGTTTATTCAATTTCTATAGCTGCCCATTTCAGTCCAGTTCACTCTTATATTATGGTCTCATGAACCTTTGTCAGTCTGGGAACCAACCATTACATGCCCAGTTCTATAGAAGGATGAGATGGTTTCATGCACTTCCCAGTATATTTGCATATAGGGCTGGGACCCATGTACCATACCACAAAAAGCAACCTCTGAATTGCTATGTGCCGTTTCACTCACTTCATGAAGGCAGGTGTACTGCACATGGTAAGGTGCCACTTTCTCCTCTCCTTTGATCTCCACACTAATGTGCAGTCGGATAGCTCCGGATACAGCTGACTTATCTGTTCGCTTATCTGAAACAAGTACGGGATGGGGGAGAGAAGAAGGGCATTTGGGGTTACAGTTATTTGCAGGATTGATGAGGGAAAGGGGATTTTTTTTAAAAAATGAAGTCTGTACGAATATCCCAGAATAAACAAGAACATAAAGTGAATCCAACTAATTGAGACAATACAGTCTGATGCCTTTAAGAGGCCTATAAAAGTAGGAATGCCAGCAATAGCTTCTCCTCCCTTGTAGATTTTAGGAGCAGTCAAATTGTTTCAAGCATTTATCCAGACTTACTTTAGTTCCATCTTTTGTCAAAGCAAATGATTCATTCCAATATTCTTCAGAGTAATTTGTCAATTTTCTTACTGATCTGCTAGAGCTGATAAGGGTGTGTGTGTGTGTGTGTGTGTGTGTGTGTGTGTGTGTGTGTGTTTAACTGCAAGCCTGGCCTCCTTGAGCTTTTCATCTGGGAAATCAATGGCCAACTACCAGATCTAGATTTTGTATATCAGACTGAACATATTGCTAGTATGGCTACAATGAATAGATCTAGGTCTCTTTTTTGAAGAAGTGGTCGGCCTGTTTAGGGCTTACGGATGCTTATGACCCATTCAGATGGAAAGCTGCCCAAAATATGTCCCTGAGGCTGAATGACTGCTTACCCAGGTTGTACCAGACATCCATTTCTCCACTCAGTGTCCGCACTTCAATGATTGTCTGACCCAGGAAGTCATCAGATTCTCTCTTGAAGCGCTGTTTTACCCTAGACTTGATGTCATCATCTTCATCCCATACCCGAACCTTAATTCGATCGGAGGAGTTATGACATTCACTGGTCGTGGAGGAAATTGGGAAAAGAGGTGAAGTAATAAATAAAAGCTGTCACTATGAATGGAGACATAGATACTAAGGGAAGGGCAAGTGATTTAGTGACTCTTAGAACCTACAGGAAACCTTGTAATTACTAAGCCCATTACACATTTTCTTGCAAGATCTCTCTATCCTCAACATTAATTATATCCCTCCCTCTGACCCTCCATTTATCTTCATTTTTAACTGCATATTTTAGTATTTTAATCAATTCCTTTAATTAAAAATCCACTTACATTATGGAATTATATACATTATGAAGTTACCTTATTCATTAATTTGCCAGGTAAATTATTAATTTCTAACTGGAAGTAGAATTTTTAATTAATCTTTAATTTTGGGGAAAACAGGTGGTAACTGAGAGGATACTCTGGAGATCCACCAGCAGAGATGAAAAGGGGGGGGGTCATCTACCTGCCATGCAAAAAATTCTTCTACAATTATCAATCGTTTCCTTTACTCTGTGGGCAGTGAGCCTTACACAAGCCTTCATTAAAGTAACTGGGAGTGGGGGGAAAGATAAAAGCCCAAATTGGGGATAGAAGGGAAATTTCCTTCAATCTTCTCTCTTGAGAAAATTCAGGAATGTTTCTCTGCCACAGATATTTAAAGCGACACCTAAACTGTCCATAATGTCTTGAATGATTCTCTCCAACGTTATTGCTAACTAAACATGTTTCAGTTCCAGAAATAAGGCTGCAATCCCATATCCTTGGAACAACAATTTTTTGATTTCTAGGAGCCAAAAGGGTCCTGACCTCACCTACTTCTAACTAATCTGGACTTTGGATATTTGGTGCCTGCAGGCTATAATAAATATATTTCAGGTGTGGAAGAATGAAGGCTGTAGTAGCAGTTAGCTTGTATTTTCTGTTTCCTGCCTCAAAATCATGGGGCATGTTTTGTGGTTAGGAAGGGGACAAGAAAGAATTTAGCACTGAAATGTAAACCCTTGCTCTGAGAATATGGTCCACTGGGATCACATAAAAGATTTAAGCTTGGAAGTGTAAAAGTTAGAGCTAAGCAATCCTTGGGTGTCTACCTTGTGGGATAAATAAGGTAGAAATCATAACCAGATAAGCTAACCATTATATCAGGACAATGTTTGGAATGGAAAGTAAAACATTGCTGAACACATTCTGCTGCTAAGGGATCGCAGATCCAATTCATGCAGGCTCTTAGCCTGCTGGTGTGAATTTGTGTGTCAGGTAAGGAGGTAGCAGGGCTTTTTTTTTTGTCATAGAACTCCCAGAATGGAGTTCTGGCACCTTTTTTGGATGGAACTTTGTAGGGTAGGCAAGGTGGGTTGTATGACGTGTGTGGGTTCTGGCACCTTTTTTTTTTTTTTTTTTTTACAAAAAAAGCACTGGGAGGTAGCATTCCCATTCAAAGGCCTTAGAGACAGATGCTTTATGATTCACTTACAAGTGGAAGTTTTCCTCCCAGACGGGGTTCAAATTTCCATAAATGGTCTTTGTTCTCTTTTTGGTCTTTCCAACCTGGACGGTTACATAGGGGTCACTGGAGCCCGTTTTATCCTTGGCCTGCAGGCCTTGTGCACAAACAACTACAAATACATAAGCCATACACAAGTTCCATGTTGATTCGGTGGAAGGATACACATATACCAGAGCCGTCCCCCCCCAAGAAAACAAAAGAAAACAATAAAGGCAACACATGAACAAAGAAAACAAATGAAAAAAAAGCTATGATTAAATAATAGGCATAAAAAGAATTTAGCGCTTATTTTTCTTTTCTAGGTTGATTAGAATAAAAACAATGCATTTGCCCATTTGTATGTGAAATGCTTTTTTAAAAAATGTATGACTTCAAATCAGTGTTTACTCCAGCTGATTGCCTGAACTAGTCCCTGCAGTATTCTTGGCAAGATTTCAAAAGTGGTTTCCCATTACCTGCCCCACAGGGCTAAGAGAATGTCTAGCCCAAGGTCATCTAGCTGGCTTCATGCCCGAGGTGGAACTAGAACTCACAGTCTCCTGGTTTCTAGCCTTTTGCCTTAACCACACTGGCTCTTATATGAAAGATGGCTAGCCCTAAGTTATTGGTTTGATTTATACGCTACCTTTCAGATTAAACTGAGTACCAAGAACTTTAGGCAGCTGAAGCATTATTGAGTACTCCCCTAAAAATCACAGATCCCTTCCATCCCAAAATGTGAATAGGGGAAAATAGCTTCATATGCTTTTATGTCTTGACTGTCCTCAATTTGGACCAAAATAAATTAAATATGGATGTCTCCACGGGCCATAATTGTCTCCAGAGATAGAAGGACAGTTGCTCAAATTGACCTTAAACTTAGAAATTAATTCAAAAGAAATTGTCCTTTAGTGTTCTCTTTTTTTCTGAATTTTCTCCTTTTTCTGAATTTTCTAATGCAGTTTTATGACCATCCAACAAAAAGCATACCAAAAAAGTCCACGGGGAAGAAAGAAAGTGCTCACCCAAATTCAAACACAAGGGGAGAAAAAATCTACACAAGCGTAGTATAAAAGAGAAAATTACTCGTACAAATGAATACATTAGAAGTGCCTCAAATAATGTTTAGAAAATAACACATTGGAAGGCTTGCACTTCAAAAACTGAAGAAAATAAAGAGAACATCAAACGAATGTGGAAAGAGGAGCAAAAAAAAAAAGAGGTTGGAAGAATGCGTACACTTGCATAGAAGAAATCTAGAAAGTTATCGGCATGGTACCTGTGATGCTGATCTTGGCCGACCACTTTGAAGTGCCATCCAGAACGCTCTGCTTGACTGCCTTCATCTGCTGGGTATGGGTGGTCTTGGAGACTGCAAAGATCTCCTGGATTAACTCAAAGATTTCTGGTTTATTCCGCTCTCGGATCTTCATACGGTCTTTCAGCACCATAATAATGTTCTGTGTGCGATCTTCTGCCCCATGTTTAGAACTTTTTTCTGCTGCCCCTGAGCACCAGAAGTAACACAGCATTGATAATCTCACATGCACCAATCATGGTTATCATCATTATTATTTATTATCTCTGTTGATAACATCACAGGTAGGCAAATTGTAAGACACTAGAGGTTCCTGCAACTGAACTATAATCCGAGAATTTCTCACTACTAGTCCCGCTTGCTAGGAGTTGAAGTTCAGAGCATTGGAAATAATAATCATAATCATAATAGAGTTGGAAGGGACCTTGGAGGTCTCCTAGTCCCACCCCTGCTCAGGCAGGAAACCCTATACCATTTCAGACAAATGGCTGTCCAATCTCTTCTTAAAAACTTCAAGTGTTGGAGCATTCACAACTTCTGGAGGCAAGTTGTTCCACTGATTAATTGTTCTAACTGTCAGGAAATTTCTCCTTAGTTCTAGGTAATTTCTCTCCTTGGTTAGTTTCCATCTGTTGCTTCTTGTCCTGCCTTCAGGTGCTTTGGGGAATAGCTTGACTCCCTCTTCTTTGTGCGTGGCAGCCCCTGAGATTTTGGAACACTGCTATCATGTCCCCCCTCGTCCTTCTCTTCATTAAACTAGATTGTTTAATGCCATGGGTTGCTTTTCTGTGTATAAGGAAATCCATTTCTATCTTTCATTTTGATAATGAATTGTACCATTTAACAAGAGAGAAAATAAATAACTGCATGCAACAAGTTAATAACTATGTAATGGATTTCTACTCCATTTTAATTTGAAGATTTCATCTCTGACTCTATTAGTGCTTCACGTATAGCTCTATCTTTTCCTTCCTTATAGTGATTGTTTATATGCTATCAGATTGGTGTTGCCTTTTAGTGACTATGTAGATAGATTTTCTCCATGATGATCTGTCTCTAAGCTGGTTCTTTAGGTCTTACATCCATCACCATACTAACCATGTCTATCTAACTTGCTACTGGTCATCCTTGTCCCATTCTTTCCACCTTTCCCAGCACTCAAACCTTCTCCAGAGAGCTGGATATTTACGTACTGTATGTCCTAAGTAGAATAAATTGAACCTGGTCAGTGAGAACTCTGGGTTGATTTGTTTGATGATCCATTTGTTTATTTCCTTGGTGGTCCTCTGTATTCTCAGAAGTTTTTTCCCCAACACCAAAGCGTCAATACTCTTTCTATCCTGCTTCCTCAAAGTCCAACTTTCGTTTCTCTGTTGTGCCAAGAGAATACCATTACCTGCCCTGTTCTGACCTTTCTGGTATAGACACATCATGGCATCTGTGGCATATTTCTTACTACCTGTTCCTTTACTCTGGATGGTTGATCCTAAGAGGTGGGAGCTATCTCTCACTTCAATATCTTCACTGTTAATTCTAAGGTTGGTTGTTGTGCCTATTGTCATTAATTTGGCCTTCTTTATGTTTTAGTCCCATCTTTTCATTGGGTTCCTTGACTTTTATTACTAGAGCTTGCAGAACCTTTGCATTTTTGATGCAAAATATTACCATCAGCTGCTTTCAAACTGTGGTGTTGGAGAAGACTCTTCAGAGTCCCTTGGACTGCAAGGAGATGGAATCAGTCAATCCTAAAGAAAATCAACCCTGACTGTTCTTTGGAAGGAGAGATATTGACATTGAAGTGCAAATACTTTGGCCTCCTAATGAAAAGAGAGCACTCACTTGAAAAGACCCTGATATTGAGAAAGATGGAAGGCAAAAGGAGAAGGCAATGACAGAGAATAAGATGGTTAGATAGTGTCATCAATTGAATGAACATGAATTTAGGCAAACTCTAGGAGATAGGGAAGGACAGGGGGGCCTGGCGTGCTATGGTCCCTGAGGTGACAAAGAGTTGGACATGACTTAGTGACTGAACAACAACAACAACAACAAATTACCATCAACATAGCATAAGTTACTGATATTTCTTCCCCCAATTTTTGTTTCAAACAGCACCCCTTTCCTTCTGTCCCCAAAATCACCATGCAAGGGGATCCTCACTTTGCAAGCAGTCGGCGTTAAGCAGGTCTTGGCACTTTTCATGGCATTTCACTCCACACTCGGTACACCGCATTCCTTGGCGTGCAATGCCCCAGAGCAGGCCCTCACACTCATAACAATAGGTGGGAGTGGTGGCAGTCCACACCTCAAAATTATGGGGGGTTGTGCAAGAGATAGGATAGATTAAGGCTTGGAGGGTCTTCTTGTAAACATGGTTTTTCTGTGTGGGAAAAAAAATAGAGAGTATACAAGTTGGAGCAAGAAAGGCAAATGAATTAGCTATCACTATTTCTAATCAATAGTGGCTAAATATCATGGCCTTTCCCTGCTTATCCTGGCAGCATCTTTTTGGTTGCTTGTTCTAGCAAGAGCCCTCTGTTACAACCATACTTCCTTGACATATCTTCTATGATCAGAAAAAAAGAGTAGGCAAGATTTTTTTTTTCTTAAAGTCAAGTTTCTCTTGAGCTAATCTTTTGAAAACTACTTACTGATAAAGGGCAGAGCACTGTATACAGAGTAGGGGCCACAACTGGCTGACATCATTCTTCTTTCTGACACTTTCTTTCCCCACTACTTGAGATTTCCTTTACTTTTTCTGTCCCAAAGGTACTTTTTTTTTTCTTTGAAGATGTCTTGCTTCTCATCCAGGAAGCTTCTTTAGTTCAGCTTTTTTGGATGAGAAGCGAAACGTCTTCAGGAAAAAATCAAAGTCCAGTTGCTTTTTGGAAAAAAAAACACCTTTGGGACAACCATGACCTGGATGACTGAGAATCTCCATAGATATTTACTTTTCCTGGTTTTCTTTTTGACTTCTTTTTGTTCTCATGCAACATACTGCCAGACAGCAGAAAAAGAGTGCCTTCCATAGTTCAGATTTTTTGCAGAGAAATTTAGGACTTAAGGATCCAGGAGTGTGGAAGGCCTTGGGCTAAGATTTTCCAGCCTCTAACTTTCCTGGAGATGTCAAGGACTGAGGTATGGTTTGAGATCATGCATGCCGAAAGATTATCATCAAATCCTTCTGCTAGTTTCTATTTATCTAATTTTACTAGATAAAAAGGATTTTTTTAAAAAAGCAAAGGGTGAAGTTAGGTCCCAGGTTTAGGTTAACCAGAGAAATAATATAGGTCTCCATGGCCCTTGATTAAAAATTGGAATCTACAGAAAGCTAGAAAAGATCCAGATAAATATGCAGAAGACTTTTGCTTCAAGAATCTGTCTTTAAGGAATAGGTAAACCAATCTATCTAGAAAATTAGATTAGAATTTTAATTTTAATTTTGCCTCTGCCTGCTATTGAATTTTTATTTATCTCTGATATTGATGATTCTTTGTAGAAGCTCAGCAACTTGTGCTTTCTCTGATTAATGGGTGGGGTCAATGTTCTTGCTTTACTCTGGGCCCTTCTCCAAATCATATTACCCTTTTCTGCATGGATGCATTTAATTAAGGAAGTTATATCTTATCTTTCCTTCAGCTGCTTAAGACAGTATCCGTATATTGTCTCCAATCCCCCACCCCAATAACCCAACTAGGTAGTCTGGACTGAGAGAAAATGACTGCCCCACTTAAGGAGCTTCCTTAATTGAGGGTGGACTTCAACCTACTATAAGGTCAATGGTCTTACTCCAGCATCTTAACCACTGCACCACACTTCACTCTTAATACAGTCCATCCAATAGGTCAATGAGGCAGCTGCTTCATGTCCTGCCCTAGTTCTGTTTATTTATTTATTTATTTATTTAATTTAATTTATATCCCGCCCTTCTCCCAACGGGACTCAGGGCGGCTCACAACATATTTAAAACAAAGGCATATATACAATCCCCCCCTGTAAAACCGAATTAAACCAAATTTTAAAGTTGTGTTATTTCGAATTCCTTAAAATGAACCCAGTATAAAATCCTCCCTAGGCCAGGTNGTCTTGAGGGCGCGACGGAAGGTAAGGAGATCCGGAATCGTCCGAATCTCAGGGGGTAGTTCGTTCCAGAGGGCAGGGGCACCCACAGAGAAGGCCCTCCCCCTGGGGGTCGCCAGCCGACATTGCTTGGCCGACGGCACCCTGAGGAGACCCACTCTGTGGGAGCGTACCGGTCTATGGGAGGGAATCTGCGGCAGAATGGATCATTGTGCTATCTTTGTGGAATGGTCCATGTGATGAAAACTTCTGGAGTTGAAGTAAGGCCCCTCCTTATTATAAAGTAGGAGGGGACTAACACCTATTCACCCAGGCCTTTTAATGTTGAGCTGTTTTGCATTACAAGTTTAATGTTTATTGTTTGGTGTTTTATATTTCTTGTTTCTAACACAATTGAATTATACTTCTATAAGCCAACCAGAGTTGTTAAGCAAATGCTCAGGATATCCATTTCCTAAATGTTCTAAGTAAATAATTAAAAGGCACTTGGGACACTTACTAGCTCTTCATTGTTTAAAGTGCTTGATGCAAGTGCTGACGTAATACCAGCTTTCCTGGACTGGACTAAGGACTGTGGGGAAGAAACATAAAGAATAATTAATCAAAGTAATAAAGACTATGCACATTCTTGTTCATGAATGATCTAGATGTATCTTCATAATTGCTATTCCCTTTAGAGGCAAATAAAATATTTGTAAATAGAATCTTATGTTTTATATTTTAAAAAAAGTCTTAGGGGTCAAAATTCATTATGAATTTTGAATCCAGCAAAAGAATCCAAAATAGCAGTCATCCCTAAATTTTAACAGATGTGTGAACTGGGAATGCATTTACAAAGAATAAGTATTAAAAAAAAGAATACTCACCATAGCCTGTAAAGTATTGGAGGATGAAAAAAGCACAAGAAGAGAGGAAAGAAGTTAATATGATGCAAAACACACAAAGAAACAAACCCCAGACTTTTCTTTCAGACCTTTCCTATGATAAGCAAAATGGCACAAGATTATTTAAAGTTTTGGGAAACTCATAATTCTTTTCCTCTATCAGAGATAGGGAGCCAGTGGTCCGTGTCTCTAGGGAATTCCTAATGGTTTATCTCTCTTCAGCTTCAGCCAATGGAGTCCATTGAAATGGTGTGACTTGGAATTCAAAATCAGCTTTAAATCCACAAGTTTCCATTCCAATCCAATGTCTATTAAATCCACTTTCTCCAATCTTGGTCCTCTAGATGTGGTGAGACTTCAGAAGTTTCAACACATTTGAGGGTCATCATGTTGAGAAGAACCCCATGAGTTTTTACTTGGTTTTAGACTTCATGTCCATATTCCCTCTTAATCCCACTCCACCTTCTCCACTCACCAACATCAGCACTCTTTTAGTGTGTCCCTTAGTGGCTTGGTGGCAAAACAATTCCTACAAACTCATCAAATTCCCAGAGTATAAATAAATAATGCCTATTATGCCATAATACGTTTCTTCATGTCAAAAGTATACCGTCCATAATACATAAGTCTATCTATAATCTATTGGCTGTTCAAAGTGCTGTTCCAACCCACATGCAAAGTTTGGGACTTGTAAATAAGACACTGGCTTCAGTATCCCCCCCTCCCCCTATTGCAAAAGACACAAAAGAAGCTACATTATCAAAGAGAAGGAGCAGAAGCTCAGGCAGAAGACAGACAAAGGAAGGACAATAAAATCCAGATGTTGCAAGCAAGAAGTTAGTAAGAGACAGGCAAGCAAAGGTGCAGGGGTGAGGGGAATCAAACCTGTGGGTGATGGAGATTTATATCATACTAGAACTTAGCTTTCAAGGATTCCTAAACTTTTAAGTTAAAACCTACTTGAAACTAATTTTATTTTTCCATATGTTTTTTTCCTATAAAACTATAATTCCTGAACTTCGTAATGTGACTTGTGAAACATCCCATCTAGGCTTTCTAGTACCTTTTAGAGCAGTGGTTCTCAACCTTTTTAATGCCGCGACCCCAACTGGTCGTAAGTCGAGGACTAAACCGGTCGTAAGTCGAGGACTAAACAGGTCGTAAGTCAAGGACTAAACAGGTCGTAAGTCGAGGACAACCCAACCGGTCGTAAGTCGAGGACTTTCCCTGCCCGGGAGCGCCATGCATGTGTGGTTCCGCCCCATGCGCCAGCCGAGGCGTAGCTGGCAAGCGGCAGAGATGGAGCAGGCCGACCACCAGCTGGCCCAGCCCAAGGGAGGTAAGGCACCCGCCGGAAAAGGGGAAAAAATGGCGGACAAAAAAAATGGCGGACAGCCTTGCTTGGCGACCCCCGTGAAATGGTCGATCGACCCCAAATGGGGTCCTGACCCACAGGTTGAGAACCACTGTTTTAGAGGCTTTAGATAATAAGGAACTGTATTTCTGCTTGGGACTTAGAATTAAGAATTCTATCAGGCTTTGTGTTTATACTTAGATACAATTCCAAGGATCCTTGATGACATTTGATCACTCTGATCATTCTCCAACTAAGGAGCTTTGGAATCTGAGGAACTTTGGAGCTCTTCACAATCACATATATAAATTTAGTATAAATATAAAGCAATAATTTCCAGCGAAACTCAAGGAAGTTGCTCAAGGAAACATTAGGAAGCCCTGGATGTCACAGACTCACATTCCAAGGACTTTTTTTACTGAATTGATCACGCTAATAATAGTTCTTATCAACTTCTTGATAAGAACTTTCTGGATTTGCAAGTTTTGAATACTTTGTAACATAGAAGCTGTAATATACTGTACACAAAACTGTAGTCCCCAGAATTTCTTGAGTGCAGAAGTTAGCAAAGGGTAACAACTAGGCCGAAAGATTTTAAGAACTGCATTCTATACAAATTGCTTGTTTACACATCTCAGAATTGAGTGATCTCACAAAGCTTTGTGCAATGGACCACCAGAATTGAACTTTCAAGGAAGAAACTGAGAATGATATTGGGAAATCTCTAGGCACATTTTGTGATCTACAACCATTATTAGGTCTCTTTTCTAGAGTTGGGGTAACAAAGCTAAAAGAAAGACAATGAAGTTATTATCTTTAAAAATATATTAAAATTGGTTCTATTTTTAGTATATCAAATATTGTCTATGTCATTTCTCCCCCATCTAGTGCCCTTCAGATATTTTGGACCACAATTCAGATCATCCTTGCCTGGGATTGATGAGAGTTGTAGTCCAAACAGTTGGGAGGGATCACATGATGGAAGGTTGACCTGAGTTTTTTGTAGTTCTCCAGGCTGAAACTCAGGAATTGCTCAACACTGCCCCACAAGGCAAGCGATGTCACTGCAGCTTCTCCACTCAGAATCAACTACCTCCTGTTGCCGGTTTCTCTTGGTCTCCTTTCCTGAGGAATCAGGAAACACACAGAGGGTTTCCTGCTTTAATAGCACAATGTTAAAAGAACGAGATTTATCTGAGCTTTGTTGTCCTTGGGTTTTTGAATATGCTCTTTTCCTAGCTGCTGAGTGCAGCACATCATATGGGCAGAGGACACTATTATCCTCTCTTCTTTCTGAAGATTCTGGGGCCCTAACCTGGTTCATTTATTTACCATTAAAGTATGGTTGCTTTTGGCTAACGAATTTATCTTTCCAATATTCTCCACGCTAAAATTTTAGTTCACCAGTCCTGCTGAGACAGTTTACCTGAAGAATCTCCTTCAAAGGTAAGTTCTCACTGAACTATGCCTTCCCGGAAAGGCTGATGGTTAAGGGAAGCTATCAATAAGGGAAGCATACAAGGAAAAGTGCAAGAAATGTGGTGGGTTGAAGGGTAGACCAGTGGTTCTCAACCTTTTTAATGCCGCGACCCCAACCGGTCGTAAGTCGAGGACTAAACCGGTCATAAGTCGAGGACTACCCAACCGGTCGTAAGTCGAGGACTTTCCCTGCCCGGGAGCGCCGTGCATGCGTGGTTCCGCCCCCTGCGCCGGCCGAGGCGTAGTTGGCAAGCGGCAGAGACGGAGCAGGCCGACCACCAGCTGGCCCAGCCCAAGGGAGGTAAGGCACCCCCCGGAAAAGGGGAAAAAATGGCGGACATAAAAAATGGCGGACAAAAAAAATGGCGGACAGCCTTGCTTGACGACCCCCGTGAAATGGTCTATCGACCCCAAATGGGGTCCTGACCCACAGGTTGAGAACCACTGGGTTAGACCTCGCACAACAGGAAGGGTTGTCTCTTGGGAATAGTGAGGTTTGGGAGTGTGGTGTCAGGAGGAAGGAGACAAAACTGGAAAATTAAAATGCAGGAAGACATTTGGCGTTCCGTGTTGGACAAGGATTTTGTAGAGCATTGGTTAAATCAGGCATTTGCAACCGGTTGTTACTGGGATCCTGGGTTCAGGGGAAGAGGAATCCTGGGTGGATGGGTGGGGGTGTTTCTCCCTTTCACCTCGTTCTCACCAGATCGCTGATCACTAGCGGAAGAGATTTACGTCCAGCCATAATGTCGGGCATGCTGTTAATGCAGCGCAGAAACTTTACTGCGGCTCCCCTGAGAGAGAATGCACCCACAACAGCATCAGCAAGCAGAAGATGGAAGAGAAATAAAACAAGCTTTATTAGCGAAGCGAAGCAGAGGCAACTGAATAAGCTGCAGCGCACGCTGGAGCCAGAGTAATGGAGGGTGTGATCTTTCCTTCCCTGCCAATCCTGTTTCCAGGTTTTGTTATGAGCTACATTTTAGGGCAGAAAGGGGATCATGAAAATTGCGGCAGCAGTTATTATTTTACTGGTTTTCTTCTACGGCTTTGGATTTTAAAGGAATTAAAAATTATTCTTTGTTATCATTTGAGAACTGGTGCAATGCAGTGGCTAGAGACACATTCCCACGGCACGATTTTAGAGCTTGTAGTCTGGTGAAGAGATCTTGCCGTGGGACAACTCGCCGTGGTCAACTTGCTGTCAACGCTGCAAATACTGTATATTCTTGCTTTGACAATATGCAGAACTGTCTGGTATTTTTATAGTTAAACCAGGCAACAGGGAAAAAGGGAGGAGAATAAGGATAGCCCGGGAAAAAGAAACCGGAAGTAAATCACATCTTCCAAGTTGATTGGAAGATGTGAACCATGACCCCAAAATAAGGGGGGGGGGGAATGCTTAGAATGTATATGCGTAACGGAAGAGAAGCCAGACCTAAGCATTTCCACCATGCTGTACTGACGTCTCTGTAACCTTAATAAATGCTTTTAGGAAAAAATATGCCTGAAAGTCCTTTTAAGTGTTTCGTTAATCAGACACATGACACTTGCGAGACAACTTGCCATAGGACAAGAGTTACACTAAGCTCAAAAAAACATTGGAATAGAACCGTTAAAGAAAGGATGCCAAAGGAGGGACAAAATGAAATGTGGATGACAAAAATTAAAATAATGTTTAATTATTTCAAATCGTTAAATTGAATTGTTGAATTGTCCTGCAGCGAGTTGCCCCACGGCGAGTTGGCTGCGATGTGTTGCCCCATTCTGCCACAAGAGGCAGCATCTGGTTGACTGTATGTCATTGGGAAATTAAGTAGGGTTGCCCCTGGTTAGTACTTGGATGGGAGACTTCAGAGAATCCAAGAGCAGTAGCCTTGACAGGAAGCAAGAAAAAAGGCCATAACAATTTTTGTATTGCTGCCAAATGAATTATATGATTGTGCCCGTGAAGTCACCAGCAGCAAATCTGGATCTGAAGGAGACTTTCTTCTTTACCAGTGTTTCTCAACCTCAATCCTGGCAGATTTAAGATATGTGGACTTTAACTTTAAAATATGTTAATGTCTATTAAATATCTATTAATATCTACTAATAAAGTTATTAATATTTAAATATCTATTAATATGTATTAATATCTGTTGATAACTATTATATATGTCCCCACACTGGCTGAGGAATTCTGAGAGTTCTTCTCTGGGAGTTGGTCCACATATCAACGTTGTCTATGCTAAATTATTGTATTCCAAATAGGATTTACCCAAAGGCTATATTGCTGCTGCTAGGTCAGGGGTAGGCAACCTTGGCTCTTTTATGACTCGTGGACTTCAACTCCCAGAATTCCTGAGCCAGCTTGGCTGGCTCAGGAATTCTGGGAGTTGAAGTCCACGAGTCATAAAAGAGCCAAGGTTGCCTACCCCTGTGCTAGGTTCAGTTATGAAGCAGTAGAATGAGTCTTACTTGTTCGAATACTTTCTTGATTCCAACCCAAAATCTCACAAAGGGTTTTGGAGGGCACCAGGCTTGGAATGGCTGATACAGGTTTTGCAAATGAAAAAAATTATCCGTCTCTCTATATCAGGGGTCTTCAAACTTGGCCCTTTTATGACTTGTGGACTTCAACTCCCAGAATTCCTCAGCCAGGCATGCTGGCTGAGGAATTCTGGGAGTTGAAGTCCACAAGTCATAAAAGGGCCACGTTTGAAGACCCCTGCTCTATATAAAGAGAGAGATCTTACCACGATAGTCAATCCCTGTCTGCCTTCCCATCGCTCTCCTCTTTCAACTTGGGAAGTGGGACATCAATGAAATCAAACAATCAATCAGTCAAAATGAGGCTACTTAAGACATTTACAGTTTCAAGAGAATTTGCAGCAGGGCATTTTTCAATTTACTGCCTCAGCCAAAGATTACACCAGATTTCAGATTACAAAAGACTGAGTTCAAGGACTTAAATCTATGAGATCACATTCATCCTTCCATTAGCTGGCTCCAGAGACACATTTAGTGAAATTCCTGCTGTTCCAGAGCAGATAAAGCCAGCAGCTGCTGGAGAGAGAGAGAGAAAAGAAAGATGTTAGAAGAAGAAACCTCACCAAATCGCTAACTAGGGGTATGGGTTTTCTTTTGCGAATGTCAGGCATACTATCAATTATGATCAACCCGCCACCAGGCCTGGAGAAGAGACAAAAACAGTCAGATCATACAGGAGGACAGGTGAAGGAAGGGTGAAGGAAATTTGAAACAAGGTTAGGATAGGGAAGCAGAAAAGGGAGAGGAAGGGGAGGCATCAAAAGATGAGCCAGTGGAAGTATTTGGATAGGCACATGCACAAGGCTGAGCATTGCCCTGGAGGTCTCTACGTTTATTCGGTACTTGGAAGAGGATGGGGTGTGAGGAGAGAATTCTGATGTTGTCCCTTGCCAGATGATGGACTTCCCTTATGGAAATCTGGTAATACAATGGCTGATTTTAGAGACACTTAAACAAAGAGGGCAACATCATTTTCCAATGTTCCAGCACCCTTTCTTTTACGTCATGGCTGTGTCTTGTCAAACCAAAATTGAAAAGAGTACAAAACCTTGCACAACTTGCCAAAGACAGGAGAATTGTGCCCTTTTCCGAAATAATTTTGGGTGAACAAGGGTGTACTGTAAAAAATATTGACTTGCAAGTATCAAGTAGTAAGAATATGGGGAATCTTAGTTCAAATATTTTTATTCCAAAGCAGAAATCATGATGTCGTCTTTCAGAGAAGTATTTCCCCATTTTGGAGGCCAGGTCTGTACAGACACATAGGTACTTTAGTAATCACAAGTTTGACAGTGAATGCCAGAGTTGAATGAGATGCCAATCTATTCTTTTAAGAAGTATACATGTGCATACTTCTATGCACAGGTTGTATTTATGTCCCAGATACAAAGGCTCCTATGATCCTGAATTTTTTGGATTTTGTTTGGGGATGAGGGCTGTAAGGATCAACTCTGGGATATCAAATTTGACAGATTTTATCAGCAGAAATAAAAAGAGAACCCCCCCCCCATCTGTCAGAACATAAGAATAGCATGCTAATTAGACCAAGGGCTATCTAGTCCAGTGTCCAGGTTCAAATAATGGACAACAATTAGATACTTCTGGGGTGGTCCCAGGTTCTCTGGCTGGAGTTTTCCCATAACTGCAGCATTTCTTCATCTGGAGGTTTATGATTCAACAGGGTAATTATTCATGACTTGGTCTAAGGACCTTTTGAAAACAGCTTAAGTGAGAGGCCATTACTGGCTGTGATTGGTAGACCCTCAAATTATTGATGGATTATATGAAAAAGGAATTCTATTGTCTATTTATTGCCCAACAACTTGACAATATCATTGGTCATGGGAGAAGGAAAAAATATTCCTTTTCGATACCCTGCATAGTTTTATACTTATTCACAATACTTCGTGCCCAACTTAATCATATTCTTTTAATTAGTTTAATTTTTAATTTCTTTTCAATGTTTAAAATACATCATGCCCAAGTTGAAGGAACCAGGAAATTAAATTTTAGTGCTCAGTTTTTTGAAATCTGTCTTTTACTATTGAAGTAAATCTTGCCATTTTAACTTCAAAAGGAAAATATCAAAGTCTTGCTAAATGTATGGCCATAAATCTTACTAAATGCTTTTCCATTTGTCAAATCCTGCCAAGAGCTAACTGTTATTGAGTGCCATATGTTAGATCTAATGTAATCTTTAACCGCTGGATGTCAATTCTTGTGATAAGTACTGAGCATTACAGTAATGTCATCTGTGAAATACTGTCAGATAAGGAGATCTGCATATCAGATCTGGTTAAGTGGAAACTATTCTAGCACCCTGTTTGTCAAAAACAATTGTTACATTCTGCAAAATCTTTGCAGAGGGAGATTACATTTTACAGCTATCTGCCATCTGAATGTGCAGATGAGAGGTGGTGCCTGATGGCTTTTGGGGGAGGACATTTTTTCTCTCTTTAGTAACACAAAAGATCTATTCATTCTTCTCACCAGCAGTGAGTCAGAGAGGAAGTTATGGGAAGATAAGGATAACTGAGAGGCTGCTTCTCAACGTGGAAGTAGTCATAGAACAGTGATGGTGAACCTTTTAGAGACCCAGTGCCCAAACTGCAACCCAAAACCCACTTATTTATCACCGGGTGCCAGGTGGGCCTGGCCGCGGTGGTCATGGCAGACTGGGTGGGCGGGGCCAGGAAGGCAGGGGCCAGTCCCTCGCCATCTCTGGGGCATGGCACGCGTGCCCACAGAGAGGGCTCTGAGTGCCGCCTCTGGCACGCATGCCATAGGTTCACCACCACTGTCATAAAACATAGACACCTAGGGCTGGAAGGGACCTTGGAGGTCTTCTAGTCTAACCCCCTGCTTATACCATCCCAGACAAATGGTTGTCTAAACTCTTCTCAAAAACTTCTAGCAATGTTTTTTTAGTACCGACTTGGAAGAGGGCAGTGTTGGGAACAACCTGCAAGAGAACCTTTGAAAACAGCAATCTACAAGTCATCTGAAGAATGTTTCAATTTCACCCCATTCTCCAGGACTGGAACTCACCCGCCTTTAAACCAGAGGGATTTGGATTCTCCAGAGCCTTCACCTCGAGCCTGGAAAAAACAGAAAATGATGAATTTAGCTGAGACTTTGCTGTGGCTTGTTGCAACCAAAGATTCTGGTCCACAACTCTTTTTTGCGAACCAATGTGCTCTTGTTGTTGCTATCGGTAGTGGTAATAGTAGTAATAGTAGTAGTTTTGGATTAAAGTGCTGCACCACCCCATGCTATTCCACCAAATTTGAATACCCTAGTAGCAGCAGCCAAACAGGAGGAGTCCTTCTAACACAGAGGTCCCCAACCTTTTGAGCACCAGGGACCAGTTCCGTGGAGAGAAGTTTTTCTGCGGACCAGAGGGGGCGTAGTTTTGTGTGCTGCCTGCATCCCGCCGATGGGCCTTTGTTTATGCGGCCCGGTTGCTGGCATGCCACAGCCCGGTACTGGTCCACAGACCGGGGATTGAAGACCCCTGACTTAGTGCCCTTGTAACTTTGAATGCTTGCTAAACGAATGGTTGTAAGTCAAGGGCTATCTGTATAGAAAGCTCTTGTCTATAGATCAAACAAATCACATTTCTCAAAGATGTCCCACATACTGTATGTCCACGATTTCACAAGGGATACCTGCCTCTTGGAGTTGCATGCAGACTTTGTTGAATGCCCGTAACCAGTTGGCTTTTGCTCGTGCTTTGGGGTCTACCACTTCAACTTTCTCCTTCACCCTGTAACCAGAATGAGAGGTCAAGTGCAAAGTCCAGCATCTGATCCTTGGCTGAGAATTTACAGGAAAACAGCTCTATCAAACTGCTTTCTGTGAAATAATTTCACCCTATTTTTTAGTAACTTTTTAGTTCTACATCATGAAATAACTTCATGTTGTATTTAAGAACCCAAAGAATATTGTTCAAGGGAGGTCAGCCAGCAGAAAGGTGTTTCCCTCTAAATCAGGATCCTTAAAGTGGTCAATATTAAACCCCTTCCCCCAATAATTGTTGTAACTATTCAAAGGGCCAATAAATGTCTGGGAATCAACAGGTGGTTAAAAAATTATGGAAGTGTTTGAAATGATGGATGATTGGGGTCAGTTAATCTTTTGGGTCTCTGTAGAGCTAATCCTGAAGCCCCTAGTCCTGAAGATGAGGTAGATATCAACAATTTCAGTAACAAAAATATATCTTATATTTTTCATATTTTAAATGTTGCCTAGTTTTATGAAGTCATTACTGTTCATAGTACTATTATTTAAAGTAATATTTATTAAATTATGTTCATATAATAAAAGTTTGGGGGTTGATAAACAGTCTGAAACTTCATGAAGGAGTCAATGAGCTAAAAAGTTTGGGGACTTTGATCTAAGTGTTAGATGCAGACTCTACACTATCCACCGAAAGATCCACGGATTAAAAGCAGGGCCTCAATGTTCTCTGTCCACTTTTAATTACGAAATTAACTTATTCTGAATTATGAAATTAATTTATTCTGAGTCTAAAGTTTCAGAACTAATTTGAAAAAAGTTCTCTTAGAGGGAACAGATGCATCTTGAGGTTTTTAGAAGTTGATCTATGTTTTGGCAACTTTTATGCCACAGGTTATATGTTAGAGTAGATAAATGTAGGCCACTGCCAAGTTCAAAGATCATAGAACAGCACACCACTGTATTAATCCCAGCATCACTTACTCCTGGCACTTAGCAACTGAATGGCAATTGGATTTAAGGATCCACAACTTTATTTGTCATATTGTCCCCTATATAATGTTGTTCCAGTGAACTATGGGAAATTTAAATAGCATTCCCCATCATTAATTTAATTTGAGGTAGGCGATAAGCTGGCCAAGTTGTGGATCAAAAGAAATTACTTTGGTTGGAAAAAACCAAAATATTGTTATGAACTCCAGATCTCTTTAAATTGAGTTCATCAAATGCCAAATGTGATTTAGTTTAAGGAAGGATAACTTGATGCACACCAGGGCAAAACCTCCTACCTTCGCATATCCATGGATGGGGTCTGAGATAGCCATCACTAACCAAGAGAAAGATCTTGAAGTCATAGTAGATAGCTCACTGAAGATATCAACTTAGCTTGCAATAGTAGTGAAAAGGAGGAATTGCATGCTAAAACTACCAATACATTAATACTCTTATGCAAATCTCAGATATATCTTAACAGTGTCTGGGAAGGGGTAAAAAATGTCAAGGTGTCAGTCAAAACTACGCAAATGAAGCACTGTTCTTTTGTATGTGCATATACATGTATGATCAGGATTGGCCCCACGTAGATTTCATTCAGGATGATCAAAACTCTTCTGAAGATCATTTATTGCATACACTTATGGTTTGCCGCTGAATATATTACGGAGATATATGATTAGGGTTTGTCTGTTACTTACATTTTAATTGATTTATCTTTACTGTGGATGTTTTATGTATATATTATTGAGTACTTACCAGGGGTGCTTTATGAATTATTCACTATGGAAATTTTATTTGACAACTGTCAGCCATCAGGAGTCCTATGGGATTCAGTAGTACAAATGAATGAATGAATCAATTAAAACTATCTAAACTAGTGGCCATCACCACATCTTGTGGCAGTAATTTAACTATAAACTGAGGAGGTACTTTGGGGGGCAAAGGGGAGACTATCTAAATCTCCACCTACCTACTGTAGTTGGATGACCCCAGAGCTTTTTTTTCTCATAGAACGCCCAGAACGGAGTTCCGGCACCTTTTTTGGATGGAACATTGTAGGGTAGGCAAGGCGGGTTGTATGACGTGTGAGTTCCAGCACCTTTTTTTTTTTTTAGAAAAAAAGCACTGGATGACCCCATTTCTAAATTTTTGAGAGAGGTGACAGCTAAGGCAGAACATAGAATGACATAGTATGAGTGGAATGGAAGAAGGGAACAGGGAGGACTTTCCCCTACTCCTTTCAAAACACTGGGATTAGCTTTATTTTCATTTTAATCTCCCGCACTTCCCCAGTATGATGCTATACCAGGGACACTGTGGGTGATTAAAGTGGTGTTTCTGGCTCCCTGAGGCTGAATGGAGCATGGTGGATGTACATCCCTGTTGCCAAAGGGACCCATGAAGAGCAATGGCTCTCTCAGACTCAAGGCTGCCCCACAGCAGGAGCGAGACTGACCTAGGCAGACGAGGAAACTCCGGCTTTTACCAGTTCCAACAATAAAGAATCTCTTACTTCTCTTCTGTCTTGGGGGCCTCTTCCTGGGGGGTCTCCTTCACAACCGGGGGCTCTGCTGCTGGTTGCTCCTCCTGAAGGACAGTTGGAACCTCGTCCACCTTCTCCTCTTTCTGGACCTGCTGTTGCAACCTCGGTGGCGCCTGCTGCTGCAGCTGTGGCTGCTTCTGCTGCACAGGTGGCAGCTGTGGCTTCTGTGGCGGTTGTGGCTGCTGGGACTGCTGCTTCTGCTGCCCCTGAGGAGGCATTTTTTGCTGCAATGGCTGCTGCTGCCTCTGCTGCACTTGCGGCACTGGCTGGGCCTGTTGCGGTGGTTTCTGTGGCGGCGGTTGGGCTTGGGCCTGCTGGGGTGGCTTCTGCTGGAGCTGCTGTTGGGCCTGTTGGGGCGGCTTCTGCTGGAGCTGCTGTTGGGCCTGCTGGGGCGGCTTCTGCTGGAGCTGCTGTTGGGCCTGCTGGGGCGGCTTCTGCTGGAGCTGCTGTTGGGCCTGCTGGGGTGGCTTCTGCTGGGACAGGGCAAATGGCGTGGCTGGCTGGACCTGTGGGGTCTTCGGCTGTGGCTCTTGCTGCTGCACAAAAGCCTCCTTGGGGTAGGACTCATGATCAGTGTCGGCCGCCTTGCCCTCAGGGTAGTACTCTTCATTCTCACTGTACTCTTCATTGAACTCATCCTCCTCCAGGTACAAGTCATCCTCTTCTTCGTCCCAGTGCGGGGAATCCTTGTGATAACTTACAGAGCTGTGGCAAGAGTGGTAGGAGTCGCCGTCCCGCTCATCCAGGCTGACGTCATCAGGATCAAATTCGTCACTCAGCTGCGAACTACCCTGGCTCAGCTCAGCTGAGGAGGCGTAGCGGCTGCTCCCAGTGGGGCTGTAGGGATGGGCAGGGGTTGGGGAAGGGACGGAGAAGCAGAGGCAGAAGCCAAGGAGAAAAAGATACATGGGGTCTTATAAATGAACTTAAAGAGAACCCGGTGCAGTTAGCTCGTTCGAGCCAATCCTCACATTTATTTCTCTACAGCAGGGGTCTTCAAACTTGGCCCTTTTATGACTTGTGGACTTCAACTCCCAGAATTCCTCAGCCAGGCACGCTGGCTGAGGAATTCTGGGAGTTGAAGTCACAAGTCATAAAAGGGCCAAGTTTGAAGCCCCCTGCTCTACAAGTCCACGTAGCACAACTTACTGAGTGTCATCTATCTCTCTATTCCACACACACCCAAAAATAATAATTGAAATTTAGACCTATACTGGCCTTCCTAACATCCCAAAGACTCTGAATGGTTCTAAGCAAGAGGGTAATCAACATTACAGGGCTGCATCCTTGCTCAGATTACATTTCCAAATGCGTCCCATTCTGGGCCTCACTTCAGTAATCTCTCCTAAAGAGTTACGGAACTGTAATCTCATCAGGGGGCTGTGAATTTCTTCATGTGAGATCTCTAGATTACTTTTAGATCTGGGCAGTTCCATTCATTGGGGGCCAGGGGAACTACTAACAAGCATTATTAGAAGGCATCTGCTTAGTAAAAGGACAGATTAGGGATCATGTGTGCCCCATAGGCATTAAATATAAGCAAATGCTTATATTTAGAATGTTCTATAGGTCAGCCCAACATAAAGTTTAGGAATTTTCAATTCAGTGCCAGGGGATGAAGGTAAGTTGATAGTGTCTTAGTCCACCACTCTCCTTCCAGTTACTCCCACTCACTGAATAATGATCAAACTGGCTAGTCCTTAATCAGAGTCATTCCTCCATGTACAAACTGGAGAACAATTTGTACCAGTTAGCCTGACTATTTTACAATGCCCAGAGTTCATTTTCTGCCAGTTCCACAGATTCAGCCAAGCCACCAGCAGTAATCAGTCACAAAAAAAGAGACAGCAGCCATAGACACAGAAACATAGAACAATAAACACCAGCCTGCTCTTTCAATGATTCAGTTCTTTTATAGATAGCACTGGATGATAAACCCAAATAAAGTTTATACCTGCTGCTAGTAAAATGGGAGAGAGAAAATAGGTAAGAATAGGGGAAAAGTATACACCTTTCTAATCAGTGGTCCATACATGAGCATTTACACATACACACATACACAGAGGCCCTCTGTGACAGAATTATCAGGTAGCCCTCGACTTAGAACTTTATTTGAGCTGAGAATTATGGTCATAAGTTGTTGTGGTCATTGTGTAGGTAACCATGACACCACACCCTATTTTATCACCTTTTTTGTGATGGTTTTTAAGCAAATCTGTTTTCTGCAGTGGGTGTTTTTGGCCAGAAACCATTGAAAATAATGGTCACATTGTGTGGACTACAACTCCCAGAATTCCTCAGCCAGCAACTGCTGGTGGGAGAATTCCTGGAGTTGAAGTCCACACAGCTTAAAGTGGCCAAGGTTGAGACACACTGATCTTAGAGGCAACACATGTGATGTAATATTGGACATGGGCGAACTAAAATATTGTCCCCTGTTTATTGTTTTTATTTGTATCTGACAAAGTGGGGTGTTCCAGAACCATGATTTAAGATCCAAATAGGTCAAAGAGTGGCAAATACATTTATATGTATTTATGAAAGAAAATACCAAGCCGCCTCACTCTGTTTCCAATATAAAATGCCCCCTCTCCAGTGAAGGAGTGTTTAATGCTATTACCTTGATTTCCCCCCCCCCCAAGGTTTGCACTCCTATTCAGCGTTTCAAAAAGGAAGTCCAATTAGCTTTATGGAAGGGTACAGGTAGTCCTCGACTTCCTACCACAATTGGGACCCAAATTTCTTTTGCTAAGCAAGACAGGTGTTAAGTGAGTCACACCCGATTTTACAACCTTTTTGCCACGGTTATTAAGTAAATCACTGCAGTTGTTCAGTGAATCACAAGGTTGTTAAGCGAATCCAGCTTCCCCCCCCAGCATTGACTTTGCTTGTCATTATCCGGCTGGGAAGGTCACAAATAGCGGGATGCTGCAACCGTCATAAATACATGCCGTTTGGCAAGCGCCTAAGTTTTGATCCTGTAACCATGAGGATGTTGCAACGATCATAAGTGTGAGGATGTAAGCCAGTTTTCAGTGCTATTGCAACTTCAAACGGTCACTAAAGAAATGGCTGTAATTCGAGGACGACGTATACCAAAGAGGCATTGATGTGTTTTATGGAAATGTGTTGTGTTTCTACTTCTGTGATATACCTGCTCTTGTGTGCAAGGCTGAAATAAAATGTTGATTTCATTCTTCCGAATCAACACATACCTACACACACATACATAGACTGTACCTCTTGATCAAATGTATTCATGATGTGTCTAAATGAAGTGGATGAGGCCTAAGGTGGGGGTAGGGAGTGTATCCCTTCAGACAATTTGGTAATTCCCATCCGCTTAAAAATACAGACCCTTTCATAAAGGTTACTAGCATTTCAAGGAGAAAAGAATCAAACCTATTCTCTGGAATGACACTCATACACAGTTTGCACTTATCAGTGTTGATCTTCTAAAAGTCTGTGGAGATTCTCAATCATCCCGGTCATGGTTGTCCCAAAGGTGCTTTCTTGGGTTTTGTCCTTAAAAATATTTCGCTTCTCATCCAAGAAGCTTTTTCAAGTCTTCTAAAGCAGTGGTTCTTAACCTGGGCGATATTGCCCCCCAGGGGGCGATTTCATTTTTCAGGTCGGCAATGGAACGAAAAGGGGTGACGCAGGGGCGAAGGATCGAAAAGGGGGCAATATGGGGGCGATGGAGCGAGAAGTTTTGGGGACACTTTTGAGACTTTTTCGTACAGTGAATTGCTGTATATCTGTCGTACAAAAACATCAGATCGCTCGCTATTAGTGGATTGAATTGTGTTTTCAAATGTTCCTCCAGCTAGCTTCAGTACAGAACGCCGTACTTATATGAATACGCATCGCTTATCTTCATGCGCATTGCGCAGCAGCCTCTACCCATACAGTGGCACGCCATTGGCCAGAATATGGGAGATATAGGAAAAAGACTGGAAATAAATTATTTGTGTCGATATGTCCTGATGACAATTTTAAAGAAAACAAAAAAAAGTGTTTGCATAAATTGAAGAATTATTTCCTATGTTGTGATTGAGAGGTTATATTGGGGGAGGGGGGCGATGACAACTTCCTCATTGGCTCAAGGGGGTGATTCGTTCAAAAAGGTTAAGAACCACTGTTCTAAAGGAAGACTGACATCTTCTAAGAGGAGCTCCTCTCTTCCCCTGACTGAGTCAGACTTGCTCTTCACACATTCTCAAAATATAGAGTAGCAAATTACAGAAGAAAGGGATATAAGGATCAGAGAGGGGGCACAGAAAGAACAAAGGGACAGCTGAATTCACTGTAGGGACAGATAGCTTTAAATCCCAGAAGTTACATTACGGCAGACTGACCAGACTATCTCTGAGCAAGCACAGAGGCTTACGGGAAGCACATGCAGACACGATATGGGACATACCTGGATTAGACCGAAACCACATTTCTGGCATTGGCAATGGGGGAGGGACCAAGGAAGGCAGACTCCCAAAAGAATGTGAATGCCCATTTATTCAACTTTTGGCCTGGTAGAGAGTCTCAATGGTTTGATTGCAATTTTGAAGTCTTAGATGGAGGCAGTGCAGCCAATTGCCTTATGAATCTGCACTTCTGTTTTTTAAATTTCTGGGATGTTATCAAATGAAGGGATACAGGTATAGCTTGCACAATGTTCAATGTGTATTTCCCTCTTCTCTCAGTCAATGGTAAAACACTGCAAGGTAGTTGGGATCAATCACAGGTTAGAAATGGTATACAACCCCCAGCTTGAGCAGGGGGTTGTACTAGAAGACCTCCAAGGTTCCTTCCAACTCTGTTATTCCAATGAAGGTCTAGGAGAACAGCTGTAAACATTCCTGGATGGTCATAACTCCTGGCTCAGAATCATGGCTAGTGCCACACTTGAAAACCAGAAGAGCACATTGCCAAGATGGGAACCTCCAATCAGGTTTTCGTAATGCATGTCAGGTTGGCTCTCTCATCTACAACTAATGAAGTGTAATTGCTAATATATTATGACCAAATACACCATAGTATGGTTTGTTGCAAAGGCCTGGTTCTCACAATATGCTGAGACAATGGATGTGTTTTTCCTGAACACACTGAATGTACAGGCTTTCCAACTCCATTTTAGCCGGCTTAAACACATTGTGCAAACTCGGTGTACTTGCTGATTTCAGAAGTCACACAGCAATGGAAAATGGAAGTGGTGTTGAAAGGGGAATCCACTCAGATGGATCCTCAGATTCTGGCTTTGCATCTGAAGCTTTGATCAGGGAGGGCAAACTGGTCACGGAAGACAGCAGTTTTAGACTAACTCACCACCCCTAGTAAGCAGGCAGTTACCCATGGCTGCTGGGAGTCATAGGAGCTGCATCCAAGTGGATTGGAGAAAGGGAAAATCTGCACCAGACTATTTCCTTTTTAAAGCAGATGATACTGCACAAACTCATCTCCTTTAGCCTTCTTTATGTTACAATTGCCTGTTAAGAAAATCTTCCCACAAGAGTTACAAAGTGTGTGTGCGGGCGCACGTGTGTGTGTGTGCACCATGCATGTGTGAATTCCACTGAGAACTGGTTAAGGGAAGTTCAAGCACTAGCAAAATCTTGACTTCAAATTCAACCTTGTTTGGGAAAAGAAAAATATTGCAGGGGGCCGGAATGGGAACAGGAAAGGAGTCGTAGCAGCCAATGCTGGATAGATGCTAATGGCCTAATCCAGTTTGCAAAAACCAAGAACCACGCGACTCTGCAAAAGGTACACAGCAGAAAAACAAGAGAAAGACCCACCTATCAGATAGGTCTAGGGAGCGCCTGCTCTCGAGCGAGGGCTGGCGGCTCGTGCGCCTGCTTGACCCGGAAGCAGACTCAGCGTCACTGTGCCCGTTTGCGGCAGAATCTACACTACCAAAACGTCTGCCAGGGAGGGGAAGAGGAAAAGGGTCAGCATATAAAATGGCAGAGAGAAAAGACCCCCCCTCCTGTCCTGGAAAATTTCAAAGGGAGCAGAAGGAGAGAGCAAAACACAAATTTGCTAGCTACGAACTAAGAGACAAGGAGGTGGGTTTCTATCTGAGACCTGTTTTTTGTTCAGATAGAATATATCCAGGCCAACCTCTGCAACTCAGTGCACTCCACTTAGGCTGCATCGTAGCTCTCATCATTCAGAGCCAGTTTGGTAACAATGGTAACAATGGTGTGGAATAATTGGAGTTTGCTTGAAGAATGCTGGCCTGGAACTATTCAAAGAGTAGACCTGGCATTGGGGAAAAAAGAAGGCTGTTCTGAAATACAGAAAACAATGTTGAACTGGGATGGTTGCAAGTCATTCCAACCCCCATACCCAGCAACCAACCATGATTTTCTCAAAGAAATAAAATAAATCTATTATCAAAGTTAGCTACCAAGAGAGTGGCCCCTAAAGGCCCCATGATTCGCAAAGGACACGAAAAATCACATTGACAGCATTGTTAAGAATGCTAGCCTATGATGAATGATTAATGGCCAACAGAAGATTTGGGGAATGGAATGTAGGTTTTTCCCCCCTTTATTTAAGCAAATGATTACTCTTCAGGCAAACAGCAATTAGGAGACCGGCTGCTATCCCCTCCTCTGCAGTCAAGGCAACTAATTTTTGTGGAGTGCTATCAGGGTTTCTAGTCCCCAGGCTATGCATCCGAGCCAAGTTTTAAATTCTTCCTTCTCACTTTGTATACCCAGAGGGTCCTTGGCAAGATTCTCCCCATACATTCTAATGTGCATGAATTAAAACCAAGCTGGAGGAGAAGAAATAGCTAAGGATATTAAAGCCAATTGCGCCGCAAGGGAAAGGTCTGTTTGTTAACTATCATTTAGAATTTGGCTCGGGGTCCATTGCAATGTTTCAGCTCTTGAACAATGTCAGTAATGAATGGAGCTGATTATGTCAATTCTTTGGCCCTTGCTCCATTCTAAATATGCTCCCCCAATTCAATAGGAGCTGTCAAAAGGCCTTGAGTGATTGGGGCTATTACCAAGGACAGATAGAAATGGAACTTCCGTACTCTGCTATATACCTCTGAGTAACCAGAGGCAGAGATCAAGAGCAAAGGAACTACTTTTGTATGTTTGTTACAGGTAGTCCTTAACTTACAACCATTTGTTTAGTGATCATTTGAAGTTACAATGGCACTGAAGAATGTGACTTATAATTGGTCCTCACACTTCTAACCATTGCAGTGTCCCTGTGGTCACCTGATTGTAATTCGGGTACTTGGCAACTGGCAGGTATTTAGGATGATCGCCATTTGTAATCTTTCCAACTGGCTTCTGACAAGCAAAGTCAGTAAGATGTCCAACAGGGGGAAATTGCGGGTCATGATCGCATGTCTCATTTAATGGTCGTGGCTAAAAGGGCTGTGAAAATTGGGTGCGGTCATGTGACAACACATTTTCCAGTCCCAATTGTGGTTGTAAGTTGAGGACTACCTGTATGAACATATGTTGGGTGTACTGTGTTTGAGACAGAAGGTTGGACTTGATGGTCTGTTGCTTTACGTCTACGATGACATATCATGCTCTTTTCCCATTTTATAACCTTCTAGGGCAGTAGTGGCGAACCTATGGCACGGGTGCCAGAGGCGGTACTCGGAGCCCTCTCTGTAGGCACACGTGCTGTTGCCCCAGTCTTGCCTCCCCCCGTGACCCCCTCCTCTCCAGCAGCCCCCCTGAAGGAGAATTGCCCCTGAGCGTGGCCCACGCGGAGCAGCACAGCCAAGGACATGGCAGCCAGGCACCGTAGACAAGACTCTGCCCTCACGCCCCATCGCGTACAGTTGATGCTGCGGGCCGCGGGCAGAGGGCGTGGCCGCCATGGCGCTGCTGGGCTGCCTGGGCGATCTGTGGTGGGCCCTGGAGGCAGTGAGTGGTCCTGTGGGCAGGCGGGATGGGGGGTGGGGGGGCAGAGCGGGGGCGGAGCAGAAAGGTGGAGCGGGGGCAGGGCCAGTTTTTGGGCACTCGGTCTCTGAAAGGTTCGCAATCACTGTTCTAGGGGAAGGACAAGAAACCCTTCCCTACCAGAACGAGAAGTCATAGATACTTTTTCCAACAGTTCCAGGCTGCATCCACTCTACCTGATTGGCTGATGGTTAGAATAGTCCATCTCATAACCCTGCATAGAATTTGTATAGGAGTCTCGGGATACTCGCTGTTGATGGCGTATGGGGTACTGGTGGACCGAAGCATTGGGCTGGGAGGTTGTATAGTAAGGGGGTGGGATGCTGTTGCTGGTCTCACTGCGGTAGTCACTGTCCCGGTCATCCACGGTGCTGTCAGGGTCATCATCTGTAAAAAGGGATCCGAGACCATTCATGATATAGAATCACAAAGGACAAAACATTCATGATTAGAATGGGATATGTGAACATTCTTTACATGCGAGGGACATGGGAGCACAGTAAGTGTACATTTGTGTGTGTTGGCAAGGATCTATATTTAGAAATTTAGAGTGTCCACATGCATAAGTGCCAAAAGGATGCAGTGTTCTGACATGATGGAGAATAATAGAAAAGGGTCTCAGTTGAAGAGCGGGGAAAATGGTGGTTTCCAGAGGACAGGGATATTTGATAACTGAAAAAAAGTGGGGAACAGAGAAAGCGATAAACGGACAAATAGAGCATGAAGGCATCTCACAAGCTGCTTGAAGAAATTTAGAAACAATATAAGGGCCTCCCCAAGCTGGTACCCATCAGATCTAGTGGATTTTAACTCCCACAATGTTCAGCTTGGATGGGCATTTTGGGAGTTGAAGTCCAAACTACAATACATTCAGAGAACATGATCTTGCAGAAAGAAAAGAAAGTCACATGATTGTTTAAAACAGGTGGGTCAGGAAGCTGTTTACAAAGGTCACAGTATAGCATGGGTTTCCTTGCCACAGGTGTAAGTAGGATGGAGTGGAGAGAGAAAGAAAGGGCATGGGGAATGTACATTGGGGGTGCAGGTTGGAGGCTGAATGTTTCCTTGGCATGCAAACCTACTTCTTCATTCAGATATTGTTTCTTGACCTTGCTACATCTGTGAGCAAGCCAGAACATGATGCATTGCATGACTATCCATAGTTCCTCTCTACTTTTCCCTCACTGCTGGTTGATTTTTCAGTTTCCTATAAATGATCCTGATCATTCTTCAATGATCCTTCTTTTTAAGATCTAAATCAGGGGTGTCCAACCTTGGCAACTTTAAGACTTGTGGACTTCAGCTTGCAGAATTTCCCAGCCAGCATAGTCCACAAGTCTTAAAGTTGCCAAGGTTGGACACCCCTGCTCTAAATCAATAATCCAATTAAAGCTTACATATATTACAAGCTGAACCCTTAACTTTTTAAAAAAAAGAAAGTTTATGTCAGTGTAGAAAAACCGCCTTCCTTGGCATTTTGGGCAGCCCTTGTGAAAATGTTTTCATTAATTAACTTGCCTCCACTCTCAGTGGTTGCCCCGAGTGATATTATTTTACAGCCAAATTAATTGGCTATAAGATCTGAACAGTCCTTCTATGCCCTATTGTGATTCCTGATTGGAAGGGATTAGCTTTCAAATTGGTCCAAGGAGAATGAAATGCAAGCTAAAAGAGTGCCAAACATGCATATTTTTAAAATAAAAAATAAGTGCTCTCCCAAAGTAACACCTGTCCTATATGGTCCTTATAGAGAACACAAACTAAGATATCAACTTGGCCATGCTCAATCAAACAATATACATTGGAATGGAAGTGGACAGGAACTTAACCCCGCCTCAAGAATTAAGCCATCTGTTTTTCAGTCTAAATGCCATCTCACTGGTTGGATTCACAAATGGACTAAACAAAATTCCTCTCATATTATTTATTTATATCCCATCTTTATTATTTTTACAAATAACTCAAGGCAGTGAACATATCCAACATACCTTCTTCCTATTTTTCTCACAACAACAACGCTGTGAGGTGAGTGGGGCTGAGAGAGAGCAACTGGCCCAAGATCATCTAGCTGGCTTTCATGGCTATACCCCCCTCCTCAATAAACATGACTGAAAAAAAAGCTGAGTTCCCACAATGGTCCCAAGCTGTTTTAGCTTGGTCTACTGTGAGGTATAATCTCAGCCACCAGCTGACCATATAACACTCTCAGCCTGGTTCCTGAATTAATTCATTTTCTAGGATCACATTATATAATCAACTATAAGCTTACTAAACAGACTTAGGTTGCATGACAATAAAAGTAACACTGTGGAGTCCTTGGTGCTCTCTGAGTTTGGCTGTGTGTGCTTGTAGATGTTTCATTACCCAGCTAGGTAACATCACCAGTGCTAGTGAGCATGGGGTATGTTCCCTGTTTATATAGAGAGGTTTGGCTTGCCAGTGTTGGTGTGGGTGCTGTTTTCTCCTTGGTAATTTCTTAGTTAGGTTAGTTCCTTGATTAGTTAAAAATAACTAATTAATATGTTGTGTACATGTACCTCCTACATTTTTATCATATGTTATGTGAATATAACTGTATATCTGAAAGAGAGTGTTTGACCATGACCACATCTTTTAATAAATTTATCTGAAAAAAAATAGTGCTACTTAGCTGGCATTGTCAGAATGACTAAGCATCTACACAAAACACAATAATGTATTTTTGGGTGGAGACCACAATTAGTTAAAGGGTAGATCACACAACTATACCCACCCATTTGATGCCTGGCATTTAATGAATGGTTGGACTGTTCTTCTATTAAAACATTGTGTTAGAGTCTGTGAGAACATTTTATCTGTGGTCATCCCTTGACGTTACAAAACATCTCTTAAACAATGAGCAGCCTCAAAATAATGGACGGATACAAGTTAAGGAAAAGTACTGAGTTCATCCAATACAGTTAAAGAGTATATATATTTGCATATCAGACAAGACTCAGATTAATATATAGCAAATGGATTAATGCCATTAATCAATCAATTAACTAATTTGAAAAATGTTGGCTAAAGCTAGTTCTGGTTTCTAGGCACCAATAGTTTTTAGCAACAGACAAGCCGCCAAGGAGGAATGACTCAAGTCTACTAATGTCATCCTAGGATCAGAAAGTCCCCAGTTCAAATTTAATCACTGCATTGAATTCACTAAACAATTTTAGATAGTACTTCTCCAGTTCACTGTCTTTATCTGGAGTCTAGTAAGTAATACCAAAGGCTTCTGGAGGATAGAATTTAAAGTCTCAAGAGCCTAAATCTTAAGTGGCATGTGAGGCTATTCTAGCTTTAAAGGTATATACCGAGGTAGTCAACCTTGGCTCTTTTATGACTCGTGGACTTCAATTCCCAGAATTCCTGAGCCAGCTCAGCTGGCTCAGGAATTCTGGGAGTTGAAGTCCACGAGTCATAAAAGAGCCAAGGTTGACTACCCCTGGTATATACTGTAATTTGAATATCTGATAACTATGCAAAAAAAATGTTGTCATTATTGCTCTAGCTCACTACCTCAAAATATCTGCTTCATCTCTTGATCTCCAGATGAAAAGGTGGGCCATATTAGATTTGACCCATACCTCCTCCCCCTGGAGTAGAAATAATAGGAAAATATTTAAGAATGCCACAGAGTGAAGTGGGAGGGTACAGGATCAGAATCATATACTTACTTTGTTGATCTCCCCAGCCAAAATAATTCCAGTTGCCTACAAAATAAAAGCCAAGAAGACATGTCCCTTTAAGAGACAGGCCAATTCTAAATTCTACAGTATATACTTAGTCATTCTAACCCTAGAGGGAAGGGGAGGTTGTAGGGAAGGGGAGGTATAAATTCTACATCCAGATGCACTTTGGAAGCTAACAAACATATAAAAGCAGGCAGGGACAATCTGCAGTTTGGGGTGGGGTGTTGACCCCCAGTTTTTGCAACCCTTTGAAATTGCACTTTCAAATTCTGATAGCAAATAGCCAAGAAGTACAATTCTCAGGAATCGTTTTTGTTTAATGTAATGAAATTAGCAGATTCAGGAGTATGATTTACTAAAGTTAAAAACCTGATTTACCACTAGATTGGGGTGGAATAGAGAAAGAAGTATGCAAGCTTTTAAGATTAATAAATCATACTCTTCAATCTTACCATATTAACGAAAAAGTTCCCTGCCTCATTCATTTTGGTGGTGTCACCATATCTTTATTTTGTCTATTATATACCTCTTAGCCACATTTTATTTTTTTAAAAAGGGCACTGGGATGTGGCCTGCTCTTAATAGACAGGGAAGAGCCTTTCCACATTATTCTTATCTTCTAATCTAGTGTTTCTCAACCTTGGCAACTTTATACTGTGTAAATATCAATCCCAGAATTCCCCAGCCAGCATGGTGGCTTGGGATATTCTGGGAATTGTTTTCCACCCAGTCTAAAGTTGCCAAGGTTAAGAAACAATGTTCTAGTCTTGCAAGTATCTTACAAGTATCTGGAGGTTCCTGTACCCCAGTATTTCTCAGCCTTGGCAACTTTAAGAGGTACTGGCTGAGAAATTTGGGAATTGAAGTCCACACATCTTAAAGTTGCCAAGATTGAAAAACACTGCCTTAATAGCACCAACCTCTCCAAAATTATTCCATTCATTTTTTTTCCAAAATGTATTGAATCTGGGATGGGAAAACATCAGAATTAATGGATCTGTGGATCTGCTTTGTTCTTTAGCAGAATTTAAAATCTGCCAAACATAGACAGATCCAAAAAGACATATACAGTACTTAGCATAGCTGAACAGAATATCTTTGAGCATATTTTGAATCTAGGAATTTGCAGCCTGTCTACTACATATTCCCAAGAGATATACCAATAGATTCTGACCGATTTCTCACTCACCTCTGTCTTCAAATATGTGATATTATCTGCCCTCCTAAGAACTCTGGTAAGAAATGCATGCAACGCACAGTTGTAAGAGATGGAAGAGTGCTAGTAGCTTGAGAAAGCTTTAAAATAAAATAGGGCACACAAATAGAAGAGGAAGCAGAGCATTTTCAGGATGGGCAGTAAAAAAAAAATCAAGATGGCTGCTGGAAATTCTAATAGCATTTGTAACCAGCAGTATCTACAGAGGTGCTTAGCAAAGTACAAGAACCTCCCTTTTCAATTTGTTCCAAAAGGGTGGGACTTTATCCTAATCTTTGTCTGCTCATCAGAATTTCTCACCCCATATTATTGGAGAGGCAGGCATCCTTGAGATACACCTGAAAGGAGCAGTATTTATAAAAAGGCTACCTGATTAGCTAACTATTTTAACTAATTATAAAGTAGAGCTATGGAAATTTGTCAAGAAGATAACTGTGTGTGCTTCTTTAAAACACACTTTGTTCTCACATGTCTCAGTGATGTCACTGAAAAATCAATTTCACAGTCTATATAGTTTTTAAAAAGTTCATTTATGAATAATAGGATCCCTGACTGAGTGGATCTGAGTTTATTGCAAGGAAGATGTAACAGAAATGAAATGAAATTACATCCTGTTGATTTACATCCTACTTACATCCTATTACATCCTACTTACAAAAAAGTGAAGAAGGAATAAATTGTGGGATTCAGGCACTGAGGAGTAAGATTTTTGGGGACAGCTTATTCAGTATTAATAATAGAAGCAAGATGGCTCCTTAGCCTGATCAATAGGGGCTGAGTTCACATCTGTTTATATATTATGGACAGTACATCTTTCAATAGCTATTAATCATAATATATAATGCAGTCTCAATATACAAGAGCAGTTCACCTCTCCTGATTAAAAGCTGAGGATTAGCAAGATTGTTGGGCTTTAGTGACCATTGGCTAGAGTCCCAGGGGTAGTCAACCTTGGCTCTTTTATGACTCGTGGACTTCAACTCCCAGAATTCCTGAGCCAGCTTCTTAGGAATTCTGGGAATTGAAGTCCACGAGTCATAAAAGAGCCAAGGTTGACTACCCCTGGGCTAGACTCTAGAGAACAGATTTCTTGATATTTTGCTGACAACTGCGGCTGGAATCTTTGGATTCTGTGTCCAATCCTGACTGGTCCAACAAAGAACCAATCAGAGTTCTCACCAACTTGCACCAATTTGAAACTAACTCAACTGAAAGCCAACCAGAAGTCAGAACATCTGGCTATATCGCTCTCTGCTCAGATGTGTGTAGTCTGTATAATGGACTACACTGCCTATGAATATACAAGCCACAGGTGTCAATGAAAGGAAGTAGGTTCTCTAGATTATGGACACTAAACCCTGAGGTTCAACACTGTCTAACTGGCTGTGAAAACCTGCACCAATATATTACTAGCAAGATTAATCTGTTTCCACCCTGCCTGTGGGCTTCCCATGAGGGTATCTGGCTATCAACTGTCAGGTGCTTGTTTGATGAGCTATTTACATTTGATCTAGCAGAGTTCTTCTATAGCAGTGTTTCTCAACCTTGACAATTTTAAGGCATGTGGACTTCAACTCCCAGAATTCCACAGTCAGCATTGCTGGCTGTGGAATTCTGGGAGTTGAAGTCCACATGCCTTAAAATTGTCAAGGTTGAGAAACACTGTTCTATAGTCTAGTCTGGTTCATATTGGCTTTCCTTATATTCTTGAGTTGTGTTGTAAGCAGTTCAAAGGTTCAATTAGAAATCTTTTTCTAACTAAGAGAATATTTTCCAGGATGGAGTTAAATGGGGTTATTTTTCCTTAAATGGTCTCTGGAAATCCCTTTTACCTTTCAGTCCCCAGCATCTGCCTTCTGGCCCATGCACCCATCACCCAACAGATCTTCTGAGACTTATAAGGGTAGGAAGACATAAGGGAAGAAATGGTATTAGGAAGACACAGAGGGAAAGGATAGGAAGAAAGGATGAAGCTTTCATTGACCAAACTGTAAACAGCTCTGTCTTGGGCCAAACCCTCATTAATCTTGGAATGAAACATTGGTTTCCAAATACTCCACCCAAAAAAGGAGGGGGGGATTCATCTTGCTCAGAAAAATGTGAAGGGAACATTTCATATGCCAACCCTAATTTGCAGCAGAAATTAGGAAATTTCATACACCCAACCTCCCCAAATCAAAGAAACACTTACAGCACTGTGAGCCGGGGACTGGAAGCGGCTTCTCTTGCTTCTCCCAGGATGATGAGGAGAAGAAAAAAGCACAAAGATTAGGATCTGTCTGAGAAGCACTGACATCCTTTTTCTCAAACCCCTCTGATTTGGGAGCTCCAAAGCAAGCGGTTGATGGGGGAAGATGGAGAGGAAAATAGTTAAATAAAAAGCACTTCATTTGGAAAGAGAAATTTTGACAATGAGAGCCAAGGCACTTGGTTCTATTTTGGACTTCACCGGGAACAGCACATGTCTGGTGCACAATATGAAGTTGTGCAAAGGCCCTCCTAGCCACAACTTCCACCTGCTCTTTGAGCAGGAATCATGAATCCAGGAGGATCCACAGATTGTGCAGGGGGTCTGCTTGGGGCAGAGAAGCCCCACCCAGCACCAGAGATGGTATAATTCTAGAACAGGGGTGTCAAACTGGCGGCCCACCAGCCAGATTCCCATTGCCGGCGATGGCAAAAAAACGTGACGTTGCAAGTTTGACACCCCATTCTAGAACCAGAGGGCCCTAAAACCCAAAACCACTCAGTCTTGCCAGGGTTCAGCTGAAGCTTATCCAGACCCTCACAGTCTCCACGTACTGAGATAGGACATCCACAGCATCTCTTAATTCACCAAGAGCAGAGATAAACAGTTGGGTCCCCATGGCATCACCAAGGGTCTCACGTCAATGTTAAATAGGAGAGAAGAGAGCACCAATCTGTGTGGCATCCCATATAAGTAGTCCTCAACTTACAATCACAACTGAGACCAGAATTTCTGTTAATAAGTAAAGACAGTTATTAAGTGAGGCACACCAGATTTTACAACCTTTTCCCCATGGCCGTTAAGTGAATCACTGCAGTTGTTAAACGAACCACACAGTTATTAAGTGAATCCAGTCCCCCCTCCTAGACTTTGCTTATCAGAAGTTGACTGGGAAGGTCATAAATGGCAATCACATGACACCAGGATGTTGCAACCGTCATAAATACAAGCCAATTGCCAAGCATCTGAATTTTGATCATATGAACCTGGGGATGCAGCAAAGGTCGTAAATGTGAGGATCAGCCAATAAGTCATTTTTTTCAGTGCTGTTATAACTTTGAACGGTCACTAAATGAATGTTATAAGTGAAGGACTACCAGTCGTGGGGGGCAGGATCTCTCCCCTCCAATCATCACCAATTGGAATCAACCCCAGAAAGAGGAGGTAAATGAGCACAACACCCTCAATCCTGTGAATCGATCCAGAAGGATACCATTTTATGTTGTTATGAGGGAAAAGAAATGTTTGCATGCACGAATCGACTTCAGGCAGAAATTAAAGTGTGACGATTTTTGGAGGCAAAAATAGAACAGCTGATGCACTTTTCAAATTCTCAGAAAGATCCATCCACTCATTCACACATACTTACATCATCTTGGTCTCGCATAGCATTCAGCCGCTCCAGCTCCTTGACCCAATACCGTGCCTCTTCTTCAGGAATATCTGCAAGAAGGGGAAAAAAGGGGGAGATTTTTCAGGTTAACAGAGCCCTCTTAGCACAATCAAGTGGTCTAACTTTTTTTTTTAGAGCCACCTAATATTAGGCCACATTTATGAGATCGCATTTTTAAATACAGTCCCATTAGTGAGATTAAAAAAAAAGACAAGATGGCGACAGTGCCTGGGTGAGTAAAGCCACCCTTGACTTTTTTTTTTGACCCAGCCTGCTGCAAATGCTCTTGAGGGGAAAAAAATAACTGGATTTGTATATGTGGAGAGTCAGTATCATACCCCACAATCTTTTACTGCTGGGTGTAAAAACTTTGAATTTGGAGAATGCCCTGTGGGTGTTTTCTAAAAAGGCTGCTGATGGGAACAGGCCTATCCCAAAATGGCTGCTAGGCAGAATATCATTAGTTACAAACTGCAGAGTTTCCAGGATGCTGCCTGTTCCCTCTGTTACAATTCCTGTCCTGATAGGATGTCAGGTCTATCTGTCTCATCCCATCAGGCAGGTTGGGCATGTCCTTGTTACACCATCAGCCAAAAAAAGATGGTTGGCACTGCCTAGAAGACATTTCTTTTCTGCTGTAGCACCCACTGGAAAACAGGATGGTGCCAATAATCAGTTCTATCCCTGGGCCTGGGGCTCTGATGGTGTAACAAGGACCTGGTTCAGGGTTATACTAGTGCAGTGGTGGTGAACCTATGGCACGGGTGCCAGAGGTGGCACTCAGAGCCCTTTCTGTGGGCACGTGCGCTGTCGCCCCAGTCCTAGGCCTTCAGCTGGGTTTTATAAAACCTTTTCGCTTTAGGCCTCCGCCGCCATGTGCAAAAAAAAAAAAAGGTTCAATCAGTCAATTTCAACCTCTCGTGGGAAAAAAAAGATCTTGCAAAGTTGGAATTGATTGATTGAACTTTTTAGTCCCACCCAGTCTGCCGTTACCACCGCAGCCATGCCCACCCAATTGGCCACACCCACCCAATGGGCCACACCTACCCAGCACTTGACGATGAATAAGTGGGTTTTGGGTTGCAGTTTGGGCACTCAGTCTCTAAAAGGTTCGCCATCACTATACTAGTGGATTTAGGTGATGTTGCTCAGCTACTGTGTAATTTAACTTTTGTAATGTTTATAATAGTTTTTATTTTATTTTAGCTTTGTTCGCTACACAGAATCACTTCTTGAGATGGGCGGCCATATAAATTGGATAAATAAATAAATATAGGTAGTCCTCAACTTACCACCTTTTGTTTCATGACCATTCAAAATTTCCACTACTATTGCCCAAAACTATAAGCTTTTTCCAATACTGTTGCCCAAAACACTGCGTGGAGATATCCATGTAATTGAACCCATTCATCTTTGCTCTTTTCCAGGCACCTTCATTAGTTCCCAACATTTTTTTCTCACAAAATGGGGGGGGTCATTCTTGAAAATAAAGATTATTTTACAGCATTCCAATTTCTTATTTAAAGGTATATTATTTTCATAAAAGCCAGGAGGGACAATCAAGCGATAGGTGCTCAAAGAAGTATGGGTGAGCTTGGCTGCCTCCCATGCTATTAGTGATGAACTAAGAATCAGGAGACCTTTGAGGCAACAATCAATACCAGAAAAATCAGAAATTGCATTGATATAATACATATTTCTTCTGCATCCCAAATTCTGCAACACGAAAAGCAGATGTTTGCAAGCTGAATACTATATCACAGATAATCCTATCCATAGATAAACTGACCCTTTAATTTTTAATCAAAATATTGTGAAAAATGCACCACTTGTAGACAAGTCAACCTAATTTGGGGGTATATTTTGGCACCTAAAATTCTCACCTTATCTGAAATATATAAGGTATATAGATTTATAAATGTGCATTAAAATCTTATTCTTTGTAAGGCAGGAAAAAATTGCGTTCTGTCACACACAGACACCCACTGCTTGCAACATATCCTACCGAGTGGGAGTTCAAAGCGGGTGTCCAAGAGGATACGGTGGAAAGTGGGGTCTTTGGTCCCAGAGATCTCATCGTCTGTCATGATGACATGAGAATCAAGAGTCAGCCACTCTCCTGGGCCATCCTAGAGGAAGAAGATGGAAAGAGACAAATTGTGCTTTGATCAGTCTAATCTTGCATCTTCTTGTCCAACATGCTTGCTATATTTCTGAGAAGAGTACAGTAGCATCTTTGCTTCTTTCCCCTTCAACCATATTTGGCCCATCAAATAAATACTGGAAGTAACATGAAATCACCATGTCTCTCAAACACTGATATCCTTCTCCTTTCTGGTAGCCTAGCAATTGCAGAAAGAAAGAAAGAAAGAAAGAAAGAAAGAAAGAAAGAAAGAAAGAAAGAAAGAAAGAAAGAAAGAAAGAAAGAAAGAAAGAAAGAAAGAAAGAAAGAAAGAAAGAAAGAAAGAAAGAAAGAAAGAGGGAGGGAGGGAGGGAAGGAGGGAAGGAGGGAAGGAGGGAAGGAAGGAAGGAAGGAAGGAAGGAAGGAAGGAAGGAAGGAAGGAAGGAAGGAGGGCTACCCAATTGACTTTGCTTCCTCAACAAATGCCTTTATCTTTCCTTATGAAGAAGCCTCACATACTTCCTGGATCAGTTGGGGCAGCACTGTTCTGTATTTCAACCTGCTTGACAATACTTTTTCCAAGATGAGGATAAAAAAATAGTCAAAAGAAGATTCTGGAAACTACAATCCCCCACATCTAGAAGGCACAAGGTTGAGGAAGCCTGCACAGGAAGAAAGCTGTTCACTATCTTTGTATTGTTAGCTTTTCTATAAAATCCAAACATCTTCTGTTGGGGAGGGGACTCAAATTTACTCAAAGAGCAAGAAGATCTCTAGAGATTTGGCTGTATACGTACCTCGTTTGATTGGCGGATTGTGCTTAAGGGGATCCAAACCGTGCCCACCATGGTGTCCCAGATAAGACCCTTGTTCCACACTTCCACTGTCAAACCGAGGTCTAGTCGATTAATCTCACTGCAAGAGGGAGATACATCTGTTAGACTGGGCTAGAGCGACTTTCCCCAAAGCTGATATCTACCCACTCCATTTCCACCATGCCTCCCACCCTGATTCTAACTCAGGTGTTCCCAGACTCTTCCGCTGATCAACCCGCTCATGAAATTTCAGATTGTTCATCAACAAATAGTTAATCATCATCACATTGACCCCTTGGCTACTTTCATTGACCTTTGGGGGTTGATATTGACCACTTTGGAGAACCCTGGTCTAACTAGAACAGTGATGGCGAACCTTTTAGAGACCGAGTGCCCAAACTGCAACCCAAAATCTACTTATGCATCGTCGGGTGCCAGGTGGGTGTGGCCCATTGAGTGGGTGTGGCCCATTGGGTGGGTGTGGCTGTGGTGGTAACAGCAGACTGGGTGGGACTAAAAAGTTCAATCAATCAATTCCAACTTTGCAAGATCTTTTTTTTCCCCGTGAGAAGTTGAAATTGACTGATTGATTGAACCTTTTTTTTTTTGCACATGGTGGCAGAGGCCTAAAGCGAAAAGGTTTTATAAAACCCAGCTGAAGGCCTAGGACTGGGGCGACGGCGCACGTGCCCACAGAGAGGGCTCTGAGTGCCGCCTCTGGCACCCGTGCCATAGGTTTGCCACCACTGAACTAGAACAAGCATTTCCTTAACCAAACTGTCATCTGATAATAATGAAAGAACTGAAATTCAAAGTGATGAACTTGGCTCTTAACATTCACAGAACATCGCTTTGGATTTATCTCCCAAAAGTTGGTCAGAAGTGCACATCAGCACAAATGTGGCACAGATCTACTGCTCTTTAACACAGCCATATCTTTTCCCTGGATTGCATGGCTGGCCTTTACAGCTGCTACTTCAGTGTTTCTCAACCTTGACAATTTTAAGGCATGTGGACTTCAACTTCCAGAATTCCACAGCCAGCATTGCTGGCTGTGGAATTCTGGGAGTTGAAGTCCACATGCCTTAAAATTGTCAAGGTTGAGAAACACTGTGCTACTTGATTCCAAGAAAAGATGAGGCTGCTTTGCAGCAAATTGTTGTCCTGAACCTCCCAACTGTCTTTTTCAAAATTAAATCCAAAGGATTGCACAGATTTAGCCGTCCATATCTTGGATACTTAGATTACTGGAGGAATTACTGATCCTACTGGTAGATTCTGAGATTGGTTAGTTTGGTTGAATCTTGGGAATAGGGCTTTCTCAAGAATAACTATGATTTTGAGGTATGCAAATATAAGAGAATAACAGAATAATGGAGTTGGAAGGTAGCTTGGAGGTCTTCTAGTCCAGTGGTTCTCAATCTTTTTAATGCCGCGACCCCCAACCGGTCGTAAGTCGAGGACTAAACCGGTCGTAAGTCGAGGACTAAACCGGTCGTAAGTCAAGGACTACCCAACCGGTCATAAGTTGAGGACTTTCCCTGCCTGGGAGCGCCGCGCATGCGTGGTTCCGCCCCCTGCACCAGCCGAGGTGTAGCTGGCAAGCGGCAGAGATGGAGCAGGCCGACCACCAGCTGGCCCAGCCCAAGGGAGGTAAGGCACCCGCCGGAAAAGGGGAAAAAATGGCGGACAGCCTTGCTTGGCGACCCCCGTGAAATGGTCGATCGACCCCAAATGGGGTCGCGACCCATAGGTTGAGAACCACTGTTCTAGTCCAACACCCTGCACAAGCAGGAGACTGAAATTTTGCATAAGAGCTTTTATCACAAGCACAGCTAAAAAATAACTATTATTGCTGGTGAAGTAACAAACCTTAGCTGTGCACAAATTGAAACCTTAAAAATGAGTTTTTTTTATAATTTTATTATTATTATACATCATCTTCAAAAGCTTTGTCCCAAATATGGCTGACTGTTTAAAAATAATTTACTTACGTAAATAGTGTCCTTGGTTACATTTTAAATAATCGTATCCGTTTAACACCAAGCCCACCAGTACAACATTTCTAGTACCAGACCTAATTAGCCTAAGTTAAGTGGTTTTAATCCTAGATTCAATTAAATGTTCATTTTAAATTTGCAAGCACCCAATACAACTGAATTTTGTAGTAAAGTTAAACACTATGAGCCTCCAAACAAGTTCTGTAAATGGCATATATTAGTAGTCTACACAGCAATTTCACATCATTGTCAGCATTTACCCCACTACCAAGATTTGAGAAGGTGAAAACATTTCCCATCCCAACTTACAACATGAAATCTTGTTCCCAGCAAGGAAGATTCCCTCGCACTGCAATTGTCGTGCTCTTTACATTCTGAACTTTGAGGGTCACGTATGTGTTGAATTTTTCTGCCAGAGAGAAAGCAAAACACAGAGAATATAAATGGGATGTCACAATTAGCAGCATTGGGGGAAAGCACATGGAAGATTCTGGTTTAGCACATTTTATCAGAATATTACACTGTCCCCATTCAACAGCTGATTTTCAAAATGCTTCTGAATTCTGAGTACTTCCTCTCTTTTACTCTCCCCCTTTCCCTTTAAATCACAGCATTTCAAAGTGTACTTCCTGAAATGGCCAACTAGATGCTTGATGTGAAGACCACAAGTGAATTATAACTACAAACCAAGAGCACTTCCCCACTCATGTTCCTCAGTGTCTACTACTAAGAGACCTGGTCATGGAATGAATATTTAATAATGATTTTGATGGCATTATCCTCTATGACTATATCTAACCCAATTTTGGCATCTATTTTGTTCAAAAAATAATCCCAATTAGGGGCATCTATCTTGTGCAAAAAGGATCTTGTGAAAAAAATCTTTTTTCCCTTTTTAATCCTTGTCTTCTTCCATGTAACTCCTCTGCATAACCCAGGTGTTATTCCAACTTTTCCATACTTATTTTTTTTCTAAATCATATAAATTTAATATAAATTCTTTAGCATAATCTAACAAGTAAAAATGCAGTACTGAAATACCCACTTCCCTACTTAGCTTTTTCTCACCTCGCTGGTCTGTACCGCATAGAAAGCTGATTCAAATTAGCTCTATGTTCTGGTTCTGTCACCAATGAGTATTTGTCATCTGCTTCTCAAGGCTGTACATTTTTATTATTTTTATTACTCTGGGTTTGTGTATGCCAGTTTGTCTCCTTCAGAGGCTATTTCCAATTGGATGTTGCTAGCCATAGCTATTCACTGTCAGGCCTGCCATTCCATTGGAATAGTAGTCACTGAGGACAAAACTCAGAAGATGCTCATTGTCAGTAATTCTCTCTTGCTTCACCTTTCACCCTTCTTCCATGCCTGCAAAAGTCATGCTATTCTGTGCTTCAATGTTTGGGCTACTTTTGGACATGAGTTTAACACTTTTTCAAAAGAGCCCTAGACCTGTGTTCAGAAATAGTCTGTCATGTCATAGGAATGAGCATTGTGCTAGCTAACATGTTGTGTTAGCTAGGCGACTTGGCAGGTGGCTAAAACCTGCCATTCCAAGCACCCACCAATACTTGTTCAGCCCCATCCACAAGAAGTTAAGGGTTGATTTCCTACTGGCACATGATGTTCAGTAAAAAGAATCTCTAAGTCAGAGGAATCCACTAATTGCATTCCTTAATTGGTCTTACTTTAAAATGAAGGATAGCACTATTTCCCCATCTTATTACTCAGACAAATTAGGTCTTGGCTGTCAGCATATCAGATTTTATGCAGGTATATTTTTCTGCTGATTCTTGTACATTGAAATAACTTCAGAACATACCCAGGTTACATACTAATGTCCTGCCCACCCATTTCTTATCCTCAGGAGTGCTCAGAAGCCACACTTCTAGCAACATCTCAGTAATAATTCCTTGACTTTTCAAGGGCTGGCTGGTTGTATTTAATCTGGTTAATCCCTTTGCTGGGTTTGCTCCAAAATCCAAGGTAAAAGCTGCTTTCTAAAAGTTTTGTTTTCTTTCTCTAACCATTTTAGCTATTTCTTCTCAATATTAGAGATATTCTCCCACCTATTTTATGGTTCTTTAGCTGGCGGCTCATATATGATTAAGTAGGTCATGCAGAAATAAGATTCCATGAAGACAGTTAACAAAAGGGTCTGCAAATGAAGGGATTATTACTGAGATGTTTCTAGAATTGTGACTACTGAGCTCCCTTGAGGATAAGAAATGTGCGGGCAGGACATTAATATGTAACCTGGTTTCGTGTTCTGAAGTTATTTCAGTGCACAAGAATGGTGGAATGAAACTAAGGGCAAGCACACTGTTAATGTTTAAATTTCAATTGTGTAGCAATCTGCCCATCCACAGACAATTAATGGTCTTAAACACATGCCTGTACTGAAACTAGCAATTGTTTCAGAAAAATGTCAAAAAAATCGTGATCATTCAAACGCCTCCTACTTCTTCCACATTTAAAATGCTGTGTTTAGACGAATGCTTCGTGCACCATGAATGCCGCATGCTATTAATTTGCCATTACATTTTGAAGAGATTCTACATGATATTGTATGGCATATCAACAAGACTGCAGGGTCATTTCTATCCCATTTGCTACCCTGAGATTATAGGGGAATTATAGGTACAGGTAGACCATTTGTTTAGTGACCATTTGAAGTTATAATGGAACTGAATGATGGGTCCTCACACATAAGGCCATCATAGCATCCCCACAATCAAGTGATTAACATTTGGGCATTTGGCAACAGGCAGGTATTTACAACAGTTGCAACAGCCCAGGGTCATATGATTGCCATTTGCAACTTTCCCAGCCGGCTTCTGACAAGCAAAATCAAGGCAGGAAGCTGGATTTGCTTAATAACTGCATGTTCACTTAACAACAGCAGTGATTTGCCTAACAACCATATCAATAAAGGTTGTAAAATCAGGAGTGACTCACTTAATAACCACCCTAGCAACAGAAATTCTGGTCCCTATTGTGGCTGCAAGTCAAGGACTACTTGTATAATAAACACATTGCATAATTAATAGAATAGCAGGCTGGAAGGGACCTTGGAGGTCTTCTAGTCCAACTCCCTGCTCTGGCAAGAAATCCTATACCATTTCAGACAAATGGCTGTCTAGTCTCTTCTTAAAAACCTCCAGTGTTGGAGTACCCACAACTTCTGGAAGCAAGTTGTTCCACTGATTAATTGTTCTAACTGTCAGGAAATTTATCCTTAGCTCTAGGTTTGTTCTCTCCTTGATTAGTTTTCATCTATTGCTTCTTGTTCTGCCTTCAGGTGCTTTGGAGGATAGGCTGACTCCCTCTTCTTTGTGGCAGCTCCTTAGATATTGGATATTAAATATTTTATTGTTTGAACCAGTGGGACACTCTTAAGTGAGAAGTAGCTTTACTTGAAACCCCAGCTTAGGTTTGTCTTATTTCCCCATAGAAAAAGGAGAAAAGGTGGGAACTCACCTTGTGGGCCATCAAACTTGGCTTTTTTGACTGGAAGAATAAAGAGAAAAGAAAGCAGTTAGTGCTCAGCCCAAAATGAATAAAATCTGCACAGCCTGATTTGCATAACCTCTTAAGCTGTTCCATGGCTAGGTCTAGGATGTCATGCAAACCATACCATGAATTCCATTGCGGTTAAAAAGAATTGCATTAGTGACTGTCCGGTTTTGATGTCACAGTAAGACAGACGCAGGAAAGCAGGGCTCTGCCTCCTGTGCCCGATTTCTTCCTGCTGGGCCCCCGAAAAGGGCCTGAAGTCACCCCGGAGAGGTGACAAAGCAAGAGGGGACCTTTGTAGATCCTGGGAAGATGGCGGTCAACGTGCTTGATCCAAGGAAGCCCTCAGAACCAACAGGAGAAAGACTGGCATGCTGCCAGTCAGAAGCTGCTGATCTCCAGAGAAAAAAGCGGCATCTAACAAGCGTGAGCAACATGTTTGAATCTGAGTGAGATTATTTTCTTTCCTCTATGATTTCAAAACCTGTTCTTGGAAAAAAGCGACCTGAAAGCAAGGAAACTCCCAAAACTAAAGAGAGGGGTTTTTCCTTTTTTTACCCCTTCTCCCAGAATAAAAGCGGCAGTTTAAGCTTTCTTGGGAGAAAATAGAGAAGACTATAAAATTAATTTGGACACAACAGAGAGAAAAAAGTTTACCTTCCTTGGAAAGTATCGGAGTAAAGTCTTATAAAAAAAATCCTGGCTGGAAAGTTACAAAACGGACTCCTAATGACATGTAGTGGCAAAAAAGAGAGATATACACTAAGTTCTGTTTATATTTTGTCTGGAGTGAGGGAACTTGGCCTGAAGCCCAAAACTAAACAGACTAACAGACTAAATCCCTTGATATCTCTGTACTTCACAGCCTTGTAGATTGCAGCTGGAAAAAGAGAAAAACTTCTTGGGCTGTCTTTTCTGCAGGATGGATTTCAATAAAACTACAAACTATGTTGAAGCCATCTAGCTTCTTTGAATTACAAATACTGCTTGACCTGTAATTTTACAAATTATTCAGAGACAGAATGAATGGTAAGGAGCTATCAACAGTAAGACATTTTGGATCATAACCTTGGCAGGTTGCCAGCTCTGGATTTTGGGATAATTGGTTAGAGTTGGTATCAGAAGATAGAAGTGAATTATAAACTTTTTTTTCCTCTCCCCATTTTTTCCTTTTGTTTTTTTTTCTTTTTCTTCTTGTTGCCTGGGGAGCCTATTGGATTATAGATTTTTGACCTCAGAATTATTTAAGGACAGTGGAAGCTCAACTATTGGTGATTTCCCTTGGAAAAGGCCCTATGGACTATTAACTTTGAATAGGACCTTGCAGATTATAAATTCTGACTGAGCAATAACCCTGGATTTTGGACAACTGTTCTGGAAGTGAGCCTCACAAACAGAAATGGATTACAAATCTTTTTTCTTTGTGCTCCCTTTTTTTCGGGGAGTGTATTTGATTACAGACACTATAGATAAGAACTATAAGAGTTATTTAAGACAAATTTAAATGATATTGTGGTATTGAATATAAGATTAATTGTTTTGTTTAAGGCAGGCATTTGGGAAAAGTATTAGAGCTGATTAAAGATTTGGGAGGTGGAAACAAAAATGAGTGTTCCAGATTTAGCTAAAACTGGCAAGAAAACACCCTCAGCCTCATCCTTCACCTCTGCAAGCCCGTGTATCAGAGATCAATCGAATCAATGCTTCAACAAGAAAAATTTAACAATTTTCAGAAGGAGATGCAAGTGGCATTACAAGCAATCCAAGAGGCAATCTCCTCTCACAAAGAAGATACAAGGAAAAATCATGAGGAGACAAAAGACAACTTTGATAAAATGAATCAAGAAATTCATAACATAAATTTCCAACAGATGATTACAAAGAATGAACAAAGAATTCAGAAAATAGAAAACAAGTCAGTAGAGACTGATCAGAAGATGGAAGAAATAAAAGATGAAAATCAGAGGCTGATGCAGACAAATAGAGAATTGGAGGATTCAATGGCAGTTTTGGAAATGGAAAAGGCATCTTATTTTTTAAGATTTCAAAATATAACGGAAGACAAGGAAGAGGACCTTGCGGACTTGATGACCATAGCTATTGGCAGAAGCACTGAAAATTGGGAAACAGGAAATGGAAGTAGAGATAGACCAAATATTTCGAGTCAATTCAAGCTATGCGAGGAGAAATAAAGTCCCTAGAGAAGTACATGTTAGATTCATCAAAAGATCTATAAGAGATGAGATATTGAGAAGAGCGAGAGATGATCCTCTGCGTTACGAAGAAAAGGAAATTTTAGTGTTGAAGCAGCTCCCCAGGAGGATAAGAGATTCACGAAGAGAATACCAATTCCTGACCAGAAAACTAATTGAAAAAGGAGCAAATTTTAGATGGCTGATTCTGGAAGGGATTTTAATTAATTGGGACATGAAAAGATACAGATTGGATTCTGTACTCAAGGCAATAGAGTTGTATGAGAGTTACAGAACTTTTTTGGAAGGGGAAAGTCCGGAATTTTGTGCCGAGAGAGAAGCGAAAAAAACAGGAAGAGGAGCAGCCAAACCAAGGGAAGAAGAAAAAACAGAAAACACAAACATAGACAAAGGGGCAAAAGCAAGAGAACAGATAAAAACAACTAGGAGAATAAAACCTAAATATAACTGAAGGAGATGGAGAAGGAAAATGGGATTCTCTCAATGAATATAAATGGATTGAACTCCCCTGCAAAAAGAATTTTTTACATGACTACAAAAATTAAAAATGGATATAATTTATCTCCAAGAACACATATTAAAAGACAACACTATAAGCTGTTGGAACAACCAAAAATCGGGAAACTCCACTTCACACTAGCACAACAAAAGAAAAGAGGGATAGCTTTATATATTAAATAGACAATGAACCCCAAACAAATCTATGCAGATGAAGAGGGAAGAATATTGATGGTGGAAATAATGATAAATCAAAAACAGATATTGATGGTAGCAATATATGCACCTAATAACAAACAAGAATAATTCTATCAAAAATTACATTAAAAAATTGTGGAATTGGAATATCAAAATATTTGCTTAATGGGAGACTTTAATGCAATTATAGTAGGGAAGCTGGATTACAGAAGTAGTAAAATATGGAAAAAAGGAAGGAATATACTACCTAAGACTTTCTTTAAAATGGCAGAAGAAATCTGTATACAGAATATATGGAGAGAAAAGAACCCCCCCAAAATTACAATATACATTTTACATAGACAGGCACAAATCATGGTCCAGAATTGATATGATATGGATATCCCCTAAATTAAGCATGATTATACAAGAGATCAAGATAGAAACCAATATATGGGCAGACCATAATCCTATAAAGATGACTTGGAGAGGAGCTAAGAAAAACTAAGATGGTCTCTGAATCAATCTTTACTGAAAGAGAAAGAATTTATACAAATAGCAACAAAGGAAATGGAATTTTTCTTTAAAATAAACAAAAAAAAGAGACATCGCTTCAAAATGGGATACAGCTAAAGCATATTTTAAAGGTCTGGCTATAACTTACATGGTGAAAAAGAATAAAGAAAAAAAACAACAACAAATGAAGTTAAAGGAGGAATTTATAAAATTGGTATCAGAACTACAAAGATATCCACAAAAGAAAACTCTTAAAAAGCAAATGGAAACAATAAAACATAAATTAAACTTAGCAGAGGCTGAAAAAATGGCCCAACAAATTAAAAGGACAAAACAAAACTTTTTTGAAAATGCTAATAAACCAGGTAGGTGGTTAGCATACAAATTGAAAAAAGAAAGAGAAAATAAATTGATAAATAAATTGCAAGATTCAAAAGGCAATTTACAATTCCAAAATGACATAATTAAAAAAATTAAGACTTTTACAAGACACTTTACGACGCAGAAGAAACTTCTCAAGGAAAAATAAAGCAATACATTAAAAAAGCTGACTTACCAAAAATTTCAGAGGACATCCAAAACATGCTAAATGAAAAAAATATCAATGATGGAGGTAACAGAGGCCATAAAAAAGCAAAAAAAAGGTTAAGATCCCAGCTCCAGATGGGCTACCTGCAGAGTTTTATAAATGCCTACAAGATACATTAAGCCCATTAATGAAAGAACTGTGTAATGAGGTACTTCTAGAGGCTAAAATACCAAATACCAAATTTTAATCATTGTCAGCCGCCCTGAGTCCGCAAGGAGAAGGGCGGGATATAAATGCAATTATAAATAAATAAAAAAATAAATAAAAAATACTTGGATAGAATACCCAAAGAAGATTCAGACTTGACACAGATAAAGAATTATAGACCAATATCCCTATTAAATGTGGACTATAAAATTTTTGCTTTAATAATAGCAGAAAGATTAAAGAGATTTTTGACTGAATTTGTACATACAGACCAAAAGGTTTTTTACCTAAAAAATAATTTAAGAATGATTTTAGATACTTTGGAATACTATGAAATGTACCAAGGGAAACAGATGGTGCTTATAGTTTTAGATGCACAGAAGGCTTTTGATAACGTAAATTGGTAATTTATAATTCAACAACTAAACGAAATGGACTTTGGAGAAAATTTTATAAATATAATTAAAACAATTTATCATAGACAAATAGCTAGAGCAGGGGTGTCAAACTCAATTTCAGCATTGCAGTTGCCCTTGGGGGGCCGGGTGGGTGTGGCCAGGGTGGGTGCAGCCTACTGGGTGGGCATGGATGGAGTGGGTGTGGCCTACTGCGTGGGCATGGCCAGCTCTACATTGTTCACGTCAATGGTGCCTGTGGGAGCCTGGGCAGGAGTGGGACAGATCTGAGGGTTTCTGGCAGAAGGGGGTGGGACCAGGGCAAGTGCCAAGGCATGGTCCACTGGAGGAACCTCACTGTTCCTCTCAGGCCATGTGGGGGGGCTGGATGGTGGTGCAGGCTGCCCAGAGCCCTGGGCCGCAGAGGTCAAACGCCCAGCCTGACCCTTGAGCACCCGT